TTATCCCTCCTTTCCTGTGTTTTGGGAGTGGACCATGGGCAATGCATAAATATCAACTAGCAGAGTTGGACAATCAGAGGTGAGTTTAAGCATAAAGGGGTTATGAGTAGACTACTGAGAAAGGAGGGAGAGAATAACTTTTAAATTTTTTCCATGCAAATATCAATGCAATGTTGATGTTAATTTGTCTTAATTTCTAAAGAAAATGCAAAATATTACTGAAACTGGCATTTTTTTGAAAATATTTGCATAAACAATAATAGTCTGTGATGTTTTTTATTTTACAGAGTTGCCAAGTATGGAAAAGTGTTTGGAGCATATATTCTTAGCCAACCTGTCATATATCTAGCTGATGCTGATCTTATCAAACAAGTCACTGTAAAGGTGAAATAAAATGAGAAGCCACACCATGTGAATTATATAACAATATGCAGCATTTTCAATTTTAGGATTTTGAAAGCTTCCATGGACATTCATACAAAGTTTCGGAGCAAAAGTATCGCACCCTTGAAACTGCAGAATGGGAAGAATGGAAAGAACTAAGAAAGGGTAATCAGTTTTTAAAGATTTAACCAGATATAATAAAAAAGGGGAAACGTTTGGCTATGAGGACAAAGTTGAGAAACTTCTCTTTTCTTTTACCCAGTGCACATGAGAAGTGGTAATTCAAAAACTTCTAGTTATTCATTAAATTTGGTCCTTGTACCATTATATAATTTGAAAATTAAATTTATTAACTTTTGTCAAATATAATTGATTTTAATCTTGTTTTGACTATATTTTTTGACCAGAAGTATCTCTAATGACACTGACAGTGCAGTATCTGATTATGCGGCTCTGTCTGTATCACATGCACAATAATTTCCACCAATGACAGAGCAGTATCTGGTCATGTGGCTCTTGTCTGTATCACATGACCAGAATTTTCACCAATGGCGGAGCAGAATCTAGTCGTGTGGCTTAGTCGTCCACATCAATGCATTCATATCTCAACCATCTTGTACCAGGGGCAGATATAGGGGGGGGCGGGGGGAGAGAAGTTTAATGGAAAGCTGGATCATGAAACTGTTGCTGAGATGCCATACCTGGAGGCCTGTATTAAGGAAACACTCAGGTTAAGATCAAATTGTTAAGCTTCAAACTTAAAAAAGTACTTGATTAGATTTAATATTTATTTTTTTTAAAATTCAAAGCAAAGACCTCACAGTCACTAGGAAAAAAGGAAGAGACTTCCTACAAAATTGTTTAAACCTCTGTTTCATACCTAAATCAGCATACAAACAACTTGGTAATGAAAATATTTTGTCCAGGTTTTCATCTCCATTGTCAAGGATTGATAGACTTTGTAACAAAGACTTTGAATACAAAGGAATCAAAATTCCTAAGGTAATCAGTTTTCTTTCTCTTTAAAAATTCTTGATCCTATCATGAAATATTAAATTTTTTAAATTTTAGGGAAATAATGTATTTTTTTTGTATCTAGGGTACAACCATTGCAATATGCAATCAAGCTGTACACTTTGACCCAGAGTACTGGCCTGAACCCTACATGTTTAAACCAGAACGGTTTCTCAAAGAGAATGCTGGTAGCATAGTTCCCTGTTCATGGCTTCCCTTTGGATCTGGGCCCAGGTAAAGGGACTGTTCTTAAATTTAGGTATATTGTTTCCAGCATAAAATGAGAAATGTGAATAACATGACTTTCTCATATGTTACTTACTCGTTTTGAGAATTCTGTTCTGTTTAACTTTTTTGTTTTTGGTGATTTTTAGATTTTGCATTGGAGAGAGATTTGCTATGATTGAGATGAAAATGGGAACTGCTCGACTTCTTTCCAAATATAAAATAGAAATTGACCCAAAAACCAGGTAACATACAGGAAATCTTTTCTTCTTGAAGTTCATATTTGTATCTAAATGTATACTTTACTTGTTTGATTGTCTATCCATTTGTATCCAATAAACGTCTAAAAGGCTAAAACGATCGGGCCCCAATTTGTATGGCACCTCACAGGACTCCAGGGAAGGTTTATGAATGATCAAAATTTAAGAAATTTTCTGTTTAAATGTTTTAATTTTGTAAATATTCAAATTTTTTGAAAAGCGCCCTAAAAGCCTAGAAAGAAGGGTGCGAAAAGTGCCATGAATTTCTAGTATTTATAATTTAGGTATAATGTTGGCAAAGGAGAGGTTTTCATGGCAATCTACACTGATATGTTTATCAAATTAACTGAACGTTGATATCCTTATAACATACAGTTGAAAGGGACTGTTCAGATTATTTATGAATAACACTAACTATTATACTCAAATTTGTAAAATAAGGAATACTTTTAAATCTACATATATTTTACCTTTTAATGAAGTTTCCTAGAATTAATATTAAGGCAAGCACTGTTCATTTAGTCTCTACTCATTGGTTGTATATGTTTCTACTTGTTTAAATTTACTGAAGAGAATATTTAGTCCAGGAGGAGCGTCTAAAACAAACAAGTTGCTTTTGTATTTTTATAGTTTAAATAGTTGGATGTGAACTGTTGTTATTTTCAGAGTTTGTAGGTTTTGTTTTGATAAGTTTTGTGATGATATGTTTTGTATGATGGTCCTTAGTTGTCCCCTCTTCTAAAGATTTTGATTACTTTGTATCATCAAATATTTCCTTTTTTTGACCTAAGATACCTAGAAGAAGATTTTATTCTCTGTTGTATTCTCTACATATTGAATTTATCGAAAAGGGAAAAACATTAAAAAGAATACAAATGCCTGTAAAAAAGCATGAAAATATTTAGTATTCCAAAAATTTAATTTTATAAAACCACACCTAGCTTTCAGCTTTAAGATATTTGAAAAATCATCATTACCCTTTTAAAAGAAGGGAAAAACAAGTTTTCTGTTTTAAAAATGTTAGAAATAAGGGTAAACCCAATATTTTCACATCCAAATAAATTGCTAAATCATTATTGCAGACAATTTTTTTTGATGCCGTGTAAACCGACTTAGATGATTCTAACCTAAATATTGGGTAGTTTTCAGTCGGTTTGGCTAAAAAAGCTTTAGTTCAGTTTGGCATCCTCATAGAAATATATTGGTTTTCCAACCTAAGATTCATATATATATATTTAGGTTAGTTGAGCATATATTTTAGGCCGGTTTACCAGGAAGTTTTAGTAAGGTTGGTGACTGTGTCAGGTCTGTGAAGCAAAAATTTTAGATCGATTGAGCAATATTCTTAGGTTGGATGAGCAATATTTTTAGGTTTGTTGTGTAATAATTTCAGGTTGGATGAGCTTTGTTTTAGGTTAGATTCATGAGCAATATTTTTAGGTCAGATGAGGATTATTTTTAGGTAGGATGAGCAATATTTGTAGGTGGGATGAGCAATATTTTTTATTTAGTTGAGCATTATTCTTAGGTTTAATATGCAATTTTTTAAGGCCTGATGACTGATGAGCAATATTTTTAGGTTGGATAAGCAATATTTTTAGGTCGGATGAGTAACATTTTTAGGTCAGTTGAAGAATATTGCTAGGTCGGTTGAGCAATAATTTTAGGTCAGTTGATCAATCTTTTTAAGTCAAAGAAGTCATAATTTTATGTTTTAGCATTATTTTTATGTCTGTTGAAACATAATTTTAGGTTACAGATGAGCAATATTTTTAGATGGGTTGAACAATAATTATTAGTTATAGGTCAGATGAGCAATATTTTATGGTTGTAGGAGCAATGTTTTATGGTAGAATGGATACCTTATTTTGAAGGTCAAATACACATATTTTGTTGATTGGATGCCCACATATTGGAGGGCGAATGCACAATGCACATGACACACAATTTGTAGGCCATAGAATTGTCTTAACCTAACCTAACCCCGCATGTTGGTAATTAATGTATTGGTTTAATAAATTTTGCCGCAGCGCTCATCCCCCTTGCATGTCCTAGCCGCAGCACTTGGCCAAGACATTTTTCTTAATTTAACCTAACCCCACATATTGGTTATTAGAGTATTAGGTTAATAAGGTTACAGCACAGTATAGGAGAAACTACGCAATTGTAAGGATTTGCATTAAAAGAGTTGTACTAGTATGCCATCAAATACTTGTTTATCAATAGATTGAGGTTTTACTATTTCATGGGTTTGTTGGTTGTTAATTTTATCAGATTATATAATACACAAATTCACGTAAAACTGAAGTACATTGCACCAAAGATGTCTTCCATTATAAATCCCTTTTTTAAGGAGATATTGAGAAGAACACATAATTTTTAATTTCTGATGGAAAGTAAAGGAACTACGACTTACGAGGTCACAAAGTCGTACTAGTAATGTTGCTTAAATTTAACTTTCTCCCAATGTCTAATTCAGTGTGGATTGAAAACATTTATATATTTCACTATGTTGAGACATGATTCCCAAAATCCCTTTAAAAGAACTGATTACTTGCCGCGAACATTAATTTTCTAATTCTTATACAGGGTGTCCTACGAAGCATGACAGTTGGTAAATGGTTTTGAATGTCTTTTCCATATATTGTATGAGATATTAAAGACTAATAGAAGTTTATTTTGTTAAAAAAAATTCAGCTTAAAAATATTTTACCATAAAATAAATTTTACTATAATATTTTACTCCCTTTTAATATTTTTATTATTAGCTTTGGTATCAAACAATTAAACAATGATGAAAGAAGACATTCTAAACTATTCCCCAACTTCCATGTTTTGTGGGACACCCTGTATCTCTCTTTGAAACCTGTTGTTTAAACATATTTACTATGAACTATGATTTCTGCTTTCTAGAATAAATAGTCCATAGTTTAAAATATCAAAGGCTTACACCACCAGCTTGCAAGAATACAGGGACTTGAAAATTGGAGTTTATTGACAGTGTTTAAATTTAATCTATTAACAATATTTTAAATGATTTCCTAAAGTTCACAATGGTTTGAAACAATAAATTAATGATAAAAATGCTAAATACATTTATATTCCTATCTGAAGTCTCATTCTTTGTGAATTTATAATTTCAGATTACACATACATAATGTTTCTGTGGCTTTTAGCCGGATTTTTTGTTCTTTTGTGGATTTATTTAAGAAGAAACTATGGAAAACTTGAAAAGGTTGGATCCTCACTATAATAGATTTTGTTTATGTAAAAAACTAAACAGAAATGGAAAATAATCTTTTATATATATTTATATCATGTTATGATTTGCTACTTTAAATCTTGTTTATCCTTTGTGAAAAATTGATTCTAGAAAATATTCTATCACAAGAAATATTCCCCAGAAACTTTTATAAAGTGAAGCGGATTTTCTAGGACGAATATAACAAAAAATCAATATTGATCCAATTTCAGAAAGCAATAGACTAAGTCTTTGTGACTTTTTTTGGTTTTCAACTATTGTGTACTTAGTGTGGTATACCTGTTATCCCTCCTTTCCTGTGTTTTGGGAGTGGACCATGGGCACTGCATAAATATCAACTAGCAGAGTTGGATGAGAAGAGGTGAGTAAATATTGTGCCGTTGACCCCATCCTCCTCATGTAAAAGAGAAACCTCAAGGGACTATAACTTTTAACTAACCAGGAACAGATTAAAAATGGAGATTAAACTATTTTAAAATTTTGTGGTTTTTTTCTGCACCCCAGTCTAAAAGTTTTTATGCATTCAGTCGTACTGTCCAGTCAGACTACCCAGTGTAGAGGTGACCCAACACGTTTTATGCAACAAATGTACCCCATGGCAAGATCATAGTGTCTATCGTTCATGATACTAAGAACAAGTCTCAGTCGATTAGTCATAATCGGTCTTTGATTATTTTTTTTCTGCAGAGTTGCCAAGTATGGGAAAGTGTTTGGAGCATATATTCTAAGCCAGCCTATGGTGTATGTAGCAGACGCTGATATTATCAAGCAAATTACTACAAAGGTAAACAAACAAACCAGTTGAGGCTGTGTACATACACGTAATGTTAAACAATTTTTTTTTTTAGGATTTTGAAAGCTTTCATGGCCATCTTTTCAAATTTGGAGACCAAAAGTTTCGCACCCTGGATATTGCGGATGGGGAGGAATGGAGAGAACTGAGAAAAGGTAATGAGAATATATTTTCTAGAGTTCACCATCACAATTTACAATCATCATACATCATTTAAAAAAGGTTCTAAATTGATTTATATTATTACTAGGCTTTTACGGCGTTTTATACTCCTTTAGTAAAGTTGCCATTTTTCACAGTTTCCTAAAAGGACAATTTTTGACGCAGTTTTCTGTTGAAATTGGTGGATTTACAAAAATAATAAATGTCAACATTTTTTGGGGTATAATTTTACAATTTTGACGATTCATAAACCTACTCTGGAGTTATGTGAGTTGCAACTGAAAATGTTGACCTGATCGGTTCAGCTTTTTAGTAACATTTTTTTAACACTAACAAACAAACCGACAAGTCAAACTTATGTATGGACAATGTTTCTAGCAAGTGTGCTGTAAAGCGCATCAATGCCAGAATCTAAAAATGAATTATTTCTAAATCAAAAATGGATTTTTTTTTGAGCTGAAAACTTCAGCTCTGTTGATATCGACATCAATGCTCCATCTTCTAATTTTGTTAATTACCAAAAAGAGAAGCCTGAGCTAGGAACTTTAGAATACAGTGGATATCGAGATCAATGCTTAATCCTCTCTTTTTCTTAATTTCGAGACTAACTCAATCCGGTACTTGTATCCTGAAAAGTGTATAAAATTCAACCAATCAGCGTCGCGAAAAAGAAGCCAATAAATTTGAAATTTTGCGCTCCATTTAAGATTTAATTAATTTACAAAAAACGGGAATGACTCTTAATTTGAAAAAAATCGGTTTTTTGATTTTTTTCTACTTTATCTAATAAAGAGTGGATTAAGCAAGAAATCTAAAGTGTCCACATTGATCCCAGCTCTGGAAGTTAAAAATTTTACGCGCCATTTCATTAGTGAACACAAATATGCCCGAAATTGTCAGGGAGAGAAAAAAAAAGAAAAAAGCGGATTAAAAAAAAATTAAGTGTCCACAATGGATATTCAGATTAACCAATCGGAACTAAAGGTATCTAATTCTAAAGTTTTCAGCTTTGTCCTTTTCAGTATACCAATTTTGATAAAGATTCATTACTAATAAGGGGGTAAATGGAAAATATGAAAAAAAATTAAATAACCCTCAAACATTTGTATGAACAAGAAACTCAAGATGAAAGGTTTTGCTATTTTTGCTTGAATAGGTATGTCACCCATCTTCACATCTGGAAAGATCAAAGGCATGTTGCAGTACGTGAACTGCACATTGGATAACATGATGGAGCACCTGGAGAAGGGACACATTTAAAGCATTTTTAACTTATTTGAATCAAAGGACATGATCTCTTATTAGATGATTAAAACACCTTGCAGAGGTGATTTTTGAAAAATGTGCTACAAACCATCCGAAAATGGAATTTCACTTTTTAAAAAAATTTAAACTTAATTATATATATTTTTGTAGTATAGAGTACTTCCATACCACTCTCATGTTTGCACCGTGGAATTTTGAAAATTGACAAATGAAAAATTTATTAATGGCGTATAAAAACAAATGTCTTTCGATCAACTGTCTTTATGATGTTCTGTTGTTAGAGAGTGAAGGAGGACCCAGTTATAGACCTGAAACCTGTGTTCCAAAAGATGACAATGGATGTGATTGGAAAATGTGCATTTGGAATAGAAATTAACTGTTTTGAAGGAAACACTGATCTGCTGCGACTAGGAAATGGAGTCTTAGAAGGATTCAAAGTCAAAAATGCAATGGATGCTTTCTTCATGAATATCTTTTTGGGATTATCCGGCATAGAAAACTATCTAGATATGGTTCCTCCAGAAATGAAAGAATTGTGGAAAATATTCAAAAATATTGAAAATGGAAGAAAAGTACCTAATGGGGATTTTATTGATAAAATGGCAGAAATGAAAAAGCAAGTTCAGGTGAAATGTTTTTTAACTCATTATTCTCTAAAAATGTTTATAATACTTATTTTATAGTTATTACTGTATTTTCAAGTAACCTCCCATTTAAGTAGGGACATCCCAGATTCACAACAGTGCTCTTTAAACCTTTGACTGAAATATTAGTGCCCATATCTCTAAAATTCTGTGTAAAAAGTCGTATAATAGGAGTGTAATGCTAGTGTACTATGTGAACTCAATGAAGGAAATCTAGAAGATTCTACATCCAATCCATTTTTAAAATTTACATGTGAAGACTTATCTTCTGCTACTTTTAGAAAGTAAAAAAATAAAAATTACTTAGATATAAAACAGTTTGTAAACAAGGAGTTCAGCAATTACAAGGGTTTCTGTAGATACATGTAAGGACAAGCCTGTAATCCTTAAACAGTCAAAGATTAAAAGAGTACCGTTGTGAATCGGAGATTTCCCTCCTTAAATGAAAGGTAAATTAAGATTACACTTACAGTCCCGTTAAACTAGATCTGTTTGTTTTAGAATGGCGAATTAAAACATCTAAGCGAAGATCAAATTACAAGTCAATCCATAATTTTTCTTATTGCTGGATATGAAACTACAGCAAGTACTCTTGGAGCGTTGTGCTATCAACTTGTGAAAAACACTGAGGTCAAACAATTTTTTAATTTTCTGCATTTAATTATTTTTATTTTCAGTACCAACTGTTAAAAATATGTACTGATTAAATCATCTATTTAAATTCATTCATTCAATGATACTGATTTAGAGCCAAGGTTAATGTATTTTCTTGTGAGAAATCAATCAAGATACTTTGCGCAAACATGTTTAAAGTTTTACACACATTAAAAATATTTTTTTTGCAAATTTCTAAGTGGTGTTAAATTCTGACCATTGTTTTGATTTGATAAATAAATATTGAATGCTGTGAAGAATAGTATGTTCAGGTGTTCTTGATCCATAAACCTTTATTATCATATCATATATCATATCATGGTTCTTAGGTTCTAGAAAAGCTAGTTGCTGAGATTGATCAAGTTCTGGAGGAGTTTGATGGAAAGCTTGATCATGAAACTGTTGCTGAGATGCCATACCTGGAGGCCTGTGTAAAGGAAACACTCAGGTGATCTCATTTTCCAAACTTAAAATTTAACTTAATTCATGCGAAGATGGCAATACCCGATATACAAGAGTACTCTTGAAACCTTACTCTGATCAAAAATGTGGAAGATAACTTCTTTTTTTCACTTGAAAAGTGTTAATTTATGTGAATTTCTTAATTGCTTTTTAAAATCAAGAAATGCGAGAGTCATTTTCACAAAGAACCCGCAAATAAAAATAAACAGTTTGCCATCTTTGTAATTCATTGAAATTACGCAAAAAACCCCTTTTCTTGCACCTTTATCTTTCCATAATCTCGTTGAAGTAAATGATAAAAACTAACTTTAAAAATGACACTCTGGACTTTTTAGTAACTTTTTAGTAATATTGCAAAGAATACGGGNCGTTTCACAAAAAGGGTCTTCTTTTTTAAGAGTTTGAATCTGATCCCCTCAAAAAATGTCAAAAAAAATATTTTGTTAAGGTTTTCTTCTCCAGTATCAAGAAATGACAGAATTTGCAACAAAGACTTTGAATACAAGGGTATAAAAATACCAAAGGTAAGTTATTTTGTCCTCATCTGACCACATTGCTGTCCAGAAAAACAAAATAAGCCTAACAAGTTTAATTGTTTTATTTTTTATGTTAGGGTACAGGTATTGGAATATGCGCTCAAGTTGTACACTTTGACCCAGAGTACTGGCCTGAACCCTACATGTTTAAACCAGAACGGTTTCTCAAAGAGAATGCTGGTAGCATAGTTCCTTGTTCATGGCTGCCCTTTGGATCTGGTCCCAGGTAAAGTTTTTGTTTCTTAATTTGGGTATTTATTTTCCAGAAGAAAAAAAAATTCAAATGATTTTTTTAATTTGATTTTAAATTTTTTTTGTAGGTTTAATTTATTTTTTAGAGCATGCATTGGAGAGAGATTTGCTATGATTGAGATAAAAATGGGAACTGTTCGACTTCTTTCCAAATATAAGATAGAAATAGACTCTAAAACAAGGTAGAGATTGAACACTTTGTTTTATTTTATTGCTTATTTATCTATTTATAATTAAGGTATCACGTTGATAAAGGAGAGGTTTTCTTGGCTCTCTACACAGACATGTTCCTCAAATTAACAGAACGTTAATTTCCTCATAAATGGCACTTTCAAACATGTTTTGTTCTTCACAATTAGTTTTAAAATGATTCATGACTTCTACAGGGTTAGTCATAAAGGATGAGACTTCTGAACATTCAGAGACAGTTGTACAATATTTTTTTGAATCCCTCAAGGGTTTAAATTTCCATTGGTTCAAATTTATTATTGATAACTTTATTAAAGGCTGATAACCAAGTTAAACTCTTTTAAATTGTTTCCATAAGAAGAGTTTTAGGTTGACAATCAAGTCTCATCCTTTGAGGGTAATTCAATATCTGAAAAACTGTATGATTTTAAGATCCTATGATTTAGTTATTCTTTTTTGAACAATGTGTTTAAAAAATCCCAACTCTTTTGATTGTAATTTCAAGAGATAATTGAGGTAATTTAAAAAAAACGTAACTTTTGGAACAAGGCCCAAATTTCACTAAGAATATTCCTTTGGTAAAATAACAGAGTCGATGGCAATACTCAATTGGTCTCTGATCATTGGCTGAAAATACTGCTTGCTTCTTATTGGTTGAAGAAAAGCATCCCGCCAAGGAGAATGGACCATTTACATGAACCCCATTCATGACTTGTAAAAAATACCCTAATATTAAAAGAAAATATATGAAAAATGGGATAATATTACTAGTATTTGTGTTCTTATATAGCTGAACACCCCCTAGTGGCAAAAGATGTTTACACTGAATTTTGATATTATTAAATTTTAAAAATTTATAAAGAAACTTATATTTTTAAGAATTTCATCTTAATAAATTTATATTACTATTGATTGATATTAATTAAGTATATTATTTTGCTTTTTTAATAAAAGTTTTAGAATTTACATTACACTGTGAAAACTTAACATTGTTTTTTTGCAAGTATGCACTAAAAAAAAAAGAAAAAAAAATATTTTGGAAAAGAAATTGATAACACTTTTAGAATGATAGGATTGGATCCGGGTCCATTTTGTCACAAGGATAGATCAAGCATCCGAATAAAAATGGAATGAATCCATAACGCTGGTTCAAAAACAATTTCAACAGTCTTGATTTAAGTTTGCCTGAATCTCGGTACATACAGTAAATAAGGACATTTGATATTTTTTTGATTTAATCCCTTAAAATCAGAGCACCATTAGCTTGAGTGGAAAAGCAATTACAACACCTATGTTCTCTGAAAAACAAGATTTTACTGATCCTGATATTGTCAAAATGTGGTCTCTCCTTTTTTCCACATTGAAAAAGACGTCAATTGATTAGAAGTTTACGTATTTTTTTTAAGTTGAAACCAAAAGAAAACTGGGAAAAAAGAAAAAGTTGAATGAGAGATTTATTTTTGTAAAATCAGATTCATGTATAAATATATCCCATGTACTAAGAGTAAATGTAATGCACTGAATATCTTCAACAAAGGTAGTTTATGTGTAGCACAAGTATTGATTTATTAAAGGCAAGATGTATACTTAATCTTTTAAAGTGTTGAACCAAGTAACTCATGCAAACAGTTGGTTTAGATATGCCCAAAGCGTTACAGCTAAAATAGGTCAATGTTTAAGTATAATCTAAAGTCTGATTAGAATCAGAATCATTGCTGTCGGCCTTTAGATCAACAGATAGTTTACATAGTGTCAAGGGTGTTCAAAAAATAATAAACAGATAGTTCACATAGTGTCAAGGGTGTTCAAAAAATAGTAAACAGATAGTTCACATAGTGTCAAGGGTGTTCAAAAAATAGTAAACAGATAGTTCACATAGTGTCAAGGGTGTTCAAAAGATAGTATTTGAAAATCAAAATTATTTTAAAAACTCCTTGTATACAAACATGACAACTTACATTTAACAATATGAAAAGGGTCAAGACACCTTGTCCATGCTAAAAGGGACTACTTTAACAGACATACCAATTTAAATGGGACACCTTGTCCATTTTTAAATGGACTCCTGGTGCTAGATGTATCAATATTAAAGGGACTCCTGGTACTAAATGTATCAATATTAAAGGGACTCCTGGACTCAATATGTTAACATTGAAGGGACTCCTGGTACTATATACATCAACATTAAAGGGACTCCTGGTACTATACACATAGATTAATAAAACGAAGAGGTGAAGCTTAGCTTAGATGTACACAACAGACCTGTCTATTAATTAATTAATAGACAGGTCGGTTGTGTACATCACGATATGTTTACGTATCTAACGCTGTACACTTGTATATAGTGTGATCGTATTTCTAAAGGAGGATTTTGTGGAATTGACCAATTTTTAGATTTTCTTTCTTTATTTAAATAGAATTCGAGGATGTTGACTGCAAACATTTGACTATTTTCAAATTTATAGGTTTTCAATTTATTAGCTAAAAGTTCTGTCAAAAATATTAAGTTTCTAGGGCATGAATTTAACTGAAAACATTCTTATTTCAAACATTTTTTATTGTTTCTTCTCTTCAACTCTTTATCATAAACATGACAGTGTATGCAGGGTTACCCACAAAGATGAAACAACGATGACGACCTGGAGCTCCTAACCCTAAACATGCGGGGGGGGGGGGCATTTGGCTCCCCACTCTAGTTTTTTGACTTTTTATAAATAGAAATTTAAAGGATTTTTTGGTAATTTTTTTTGCCTAAGGTAGGGTGCAGGGCGATAAAAAACCAGAGTATGTAAAAAAATCTTAAATAGCCCATAACATTTTTATGACTAAAGCTACAGATCTGAAAACTATAGTTTTGAAAAGCCCTTGAAAAATGGGTGTAGAAACGTGTGTCACACTTTAATATTTGTTTTAAACAAAAATTTTCTTTACATTTTTTCGACATAATCTATCTAAGTATCAATACTAATATTCAAATATCTACATTAAACCACTCCTTAGAAATACGATCGCTCTATACAGCGTTAGATACGTAAACGTATCGTGATGTACACAACCGGCCTGTCTATTAATTAATTAATAGACAGGTCGGTTGTGTACATCTGAGCTAAGCTTCACCTCTTAGTTTTATTACTCTAAGGTTTGAAATATCAAAGGTTTACACCATTATGTTTAAAAAAATAGAGATTAGAAAATTTTAGCTCGCTGCAAAAACTCAGTTTCTTAGTTGGGAGTATTTTTAGGTGCCCCCCCCCCGCCCCCCCCCATATAGGCTGCAGTAACTACACCAAGATGGATAAAGAACAGAAGAATAATAATATTCCTATATATTCATTGTGTCAGCTTTACCATAAAGAGAGACCCCAATCCTTCCTCTATTCATAATACATGTAACATATATACACCACTCACCAATTCTCTTCTATTTATTTTTTAGGTTTCATAATAATAAACAAAAAATAAAAATTAATATTCGGTTTAAAAGGACTGTAACCGTGTTCAAATAACCTTCCATTTAAAGAGGGACATCTCTAATTCTCAACCGTATCCTCAAGGGGGTTTACAGAAATAAATTTGGGGGAGGGAAACTGTTTTTTCTCCCCGCCCCCTATGAGCTTTTAGGGGCGGGGGAGAATAAACCATTTTAAAAGATAAATAATTTTTAAGGACAGAAAATACGCTTAGCAGTTTACATTAATAGGAATCATCCTTGTTTCAATTCATAACTTAAACGTTAAGATTTATATATATATATATATTTTGCATGACGTGGCTGGATTTAAGAAAACCCTGAATTTTTAAGGCACTAAATTTACCATTTAAAACAGAATAATTGCCAGAAGACTCAAATAAAGTGTTGTGGTATGGAATACCAAACGGTTGTAGCTTAAGGCTGCTAGAAGATTAACAACTAACAAGCTAGTATGTAGCATGGAAGGGGATAATGCTGTGGCTTATGGCCGCCTGCAATCTCTGCTTGTTTCAAACGAGGTTTTCTATAATTCTCTTTATTCTTCTAGAAAGTAAATATTAATTTTCCTTCTATAAAACAGCTTGTTATTCAAGTTTAAACAATTTCTACAAGAGTCACATGAGTCTGTCACCTGTCACAGGTTTTAAGGCAGAGATAAGAGAGTTACATAGATCGATTAACACCTATAATATGCGATATTTTCCTCAGCATGTTCTATTGTGTACATACTGTACACGACCAATCAGGAGACATCTGTATTCAGAGATATTTAAGGATCCTTTGAATAGGAAATAAAAAATCTTTAAAAATAGACAATATTCATAAACGTTATGTTTTATGTTTAAAATTGGAGTATTTCTTTAAAATTGTAAAACTTAACCCTTGAATGCAACAAGTGGCCGAGAGATGTCAGTCAAAAAACTTAACATGGAACCGTAGCATGGCATGCTCAGCCTATCCAGTTAAAGTGTATGAGCAGTCTGTGTAGTCTGTGTTTTAAGGGTGCCCTTGTAAATGAGGCCGAGTTCCTACTTCCTGTAAGGATGAAGAAAAATTACATTAATCCAAAGGTTGCAAAGGAATTGAGTCTTTGACCTAAATTTGAATTTTCTAATTCATATTTATGTGCAACCTGATGGTGTAAACTTTTAATATTTCAAACTCAGATTATTTGATCTATCAGAATTCATAGTTTGAAATATCTAAAGTCTACGACATTGGGTTGCAAAGCTATAAGGTTTAGAAAATCAGAGTTTGTGACAAAGACTAAATTCCATTAGTTCATTTATACAAATTCAAAAAATTTTTATCAGTGAAGCTCTTCAATAAGATGAGTTTTTGGACTGAAAACCTCAGAAAAGAGATTAGAATAGAAGGGAAACAAGACTATCCCTCGGTATGAGATTAGCATAGAAGGGAAACAAGACTATCCCTCGGTATGAGATTAGAATAGAAGGGAAACAAGACTATCCCTCGGTATGAGATTAGCTTAGAAGGGATATAAGCCTATCCCTCGGTATGAGATTAAAATAGAAGGGATATAAAACTATCCCTCGGTATGAGATTATAATAGAAGGGATATAAAACTATCCCTTGGTATGAGAATAGAATAGAAGGGATATAAAACTACCCCTCTGTATGAGATTAGAATAGAAGGGATATAAGACTATCCCTCGGTATGAGATTAGAATAGAAGGGATATAAGACTATCCCTCAGTATGAGATTAGAATAGAAGGGATGTAAAACTATTCCTCAGTATGAGATTAGAAATCCCTCAGAATAAATTTGTTCCAACTAAAATTTGGAATTTTTTATCATATTTTTTTTTCCCTTAAAATTAAAAGCAATTAGAACTTTTGGTCAAAGAAACAAATAATTCCGTTTTTTTTACAAGCTGTTTAATTCAGGCTACTTTCTCACTTAAAGCGAAACTAAACTTTCTTTTAGTTTCATGCAGGTCAATTTAGCGTAATACTCATGCGTAAGTGAAAGAAATCGTTACCCGTAAAGAAGTTGCATTATTCTAAAATATCATTGTTTAATGATATTGAACTTAAAATAATGTCATAAAAATAGAATATAAAATCAATATTTCACCCAAAAGTATGAATATTTACCTCAATTAGTAGCGGAGAGGAAGTTCTACTGAACTTTACATCATCTGGCAGCCATTGAACTCCAAGAGTAGGTTTAAATAGCAAGGCTGTTAACAATGCTTCATTCTTCTTTTCCGTCATAGCAGCATTAAACAGACATTCTCGTGGTGGTTGGAACAACTTCAGCATACTCTGAGAGGTATACAGATTCGGCATTTTCGGCTTTTCTTCAAGTTGAGAGTGAACCTTCTCCTTCAAAGGTTGAAGTAAAAGTGAGCATTTTCTCGGATTTTCCCAGATTTCTCCCCGATTTTTCCCGCATTTCTTAAAAAATGTGTACTATGGACCAAATACGTTTATCGTTAAATCTGTTATATGAGTTATATAGCTCTTTTAACAGTATTTTTAGAAATTATTTTTTAAGGGAATGCATTAAATAATCAAAGCATTTATCGTTAACCAACTTTTCTACTTTTATTTGTCCATTTACGACGACAATTATACAATATTCGTTAGATAAATAAACATATCATGATGTACACAACTGACCTGTCTATTAATTAATTAATAGACAGGTCAGTTGTGTACATCTGAGCTAAGCTTCACCTCTTCGTTTTATTACTCTATGTTCCCACTGTACACTGTAAGTGCACAATGGGACATTCATGCTCTTTTTTGCATTTTGAATCTGATAAGTTTAAATCAGTTTATTTATTCAATGTATACATCAATAGAAATTAATAGATTGGATTAGAACTAATGTGAGTGAAACAGTTAAATCACAGTTGATGACCAATTCTACATAACTCTTAAAAAAATTAATCTCAATTTATCAATCAAAACAATTTTAAGAGTTGGGTAATATTTCCAAATTTGATAAATTTTACTTATTGAACATGAAAAAATAAAAATCAAGATTAAAAGTATTCTCATGAATGAAAGAAATCTTACATTTTCAGAAAACTCTGGAGCTACAGGGTGTCCCACATCAAATTAGACCACGTCAATGGATCTTAATTACGATTTGGGGGACAAATCAGAAAATTTAAGAAGAATGAATCATTTTGAAAAATTTAATAGGGCTAATAGAAATTTTTTCTCGCAGAAAATGCTAGATTTTTGGAGTATATTATATGTGTATTTTGGCGTTAAAGATTGGAGAAAGTCTGATATGATAGGGGACGCTTTGTATTAAGTTTAGCCATCGTTTGGAATTTTTTTTTCGAATATAAGAACTTCCATTGGATAGAATACTATCTGCTCACTGCTCAGGGTTAGTTAAATGAGCAGGATTTATCCAGTTCTCCGAATCCAGAGTAAAATGTAGAGAAGAGCCTAATATTGGTCTCGATATCATCACATCCAATAGTTTCACGGATCGAGTGCATGGAGAGGCTGGCGATACCTATACAGAATATTTTGACTAATATAGAGTTACACCAAAATATAGAGTTACACCAAAATATAGAGTTACACCAAATATAGAGTTACACCCAAATATAGAGTTACACCAAATATAGAGTTACACCAAAATATAGAGTTACACCAAATATAGAATTACACCAAAATATTGAGTTACACCAAATATAGAGTTACACCAAAATATAGAGTTACACCGAAATATAGAGATACATGAAAGTGACTTTAAATGATTTGATTTGATGTAAATGATTGGCAGTTTCAATTATCTTAAAGTCTTTTTCTAGAAAAACTGCAATCATATCAAACTTTGAAAAAAGTATTTCGATTGTAAAATAACAAAATCTACGATTGCTTATTATCAGAATAACATTATCCATATTAAAAAGCTATAGCAGGCCAAACGACTGAATCAAATGGGCTGACTTTTTTTGAAGGAACCCTTGAGTATACCAGAAGTAACAATGGCTAACTTTTTTTACTTCAAAATAAGATTTTTTTAATATTCCACGGGCAACGTCTACCGGTAATCGTTTATCATAAAAAATAGAGAAAGGGGGGATATTTACCGAGGTCCACAGTCCTAATCCCAGTCTTGGCTGATACAATCGGACCAATAGTGCTACCACAGGGACAGTCGTTCCTCACAACAAACTCCTTAAATAGATACAAGAATTTTATTTAAAATTTATGTGCTTTTGTACTGCAGCCATGGCAAAGTGAATAAATACTAAAGTGGACCAAACTCATAGTTGGATGACGACATTTTATGTCCCAAGTATTTAGAAATATGTATATATATATATAATTTTCATGAAATTATTTCCAAACCAAATAAAACCTTATGGCCCAACCTGTCGTCGTTTCCTTAGTCTGTTCCACTTTAGTATTTATTCACTTTGAGCCATGGAACATCCATGAATGCAGCAAACATTGTTACTAGTATTTAGAAATTTAACTTATTAAAAGAAATGGCGTTGTGTACAATACATTGCACAACTACTATTTAAACTCATAACTTGAGAATTACAATTTTAAGAATTCCACAGTAAGTATAATGATTGTATACCATATAATTATAAAAGAAAAAGTAAAAAAAAACGCTTTAGATAATTAATAAAATTGCACCAAAATTCGCGTAAAATGTTTTATTTTAACCAATTTTATGCAGAAAGTATCAAAATACTAATTTAGAAAGGGAAGGTGAGAAGAAATGAAATTAATAAGGAAGTGAGAACTACTGTACTGTGAATCTCGGAATCAAGAATTGATCTCCGTCTTCCACAGAGATCTACGGATTAAATTCATACTCTGCAGAGATATGTTTAATTAGGAACCAGGCATTGATCCTTTAAATTTAAAAGTACCTAAACTGGATCCCGAGATCAATGCCGCTTAAAGGAACTGTAAGCGTAAGTTCAAGTGACTTGCCGTAAAAAGATGGCATTACCTAATTTACAACGGTACCCTTAAAATTTAACACTTTTCGAATCAGGAAAACGCCAATATCTTCCCAATTATTGATCACAAAGGTTCAAAGGGTACCGTTGTGAATCTGGCATCGCCATCTTTGAATGGGGGGTTCCTCTAACCTGAACAGGAACTACAGCACGACGAGCCAGCTCACGGAGAAGGAATCCAGTCTCGGAGTTGGTAGCATACCTCTGGTTACTGTTAGTCTTTATCACAGTTCCCTGCACACAAAATTTTAGACAAAAACGTCGCAAAAATTGCAAAATTGTCAATTTGTTTACCCTCGTTGTTAGTGGTAATATTACGAACCATTATCATTATGGAAAATAAAAGAATGCCAAGCTTCTAAGTAACCTAGAAGGCGAAGGGGGTCTAAAAAAGTGTAAAGACATAGAGTGGGGGACATCCTTTATCCCCAAACCCTTTCATCCACAAGCCTCAGAATCAAAGTTTTTAAATACATTCAAGGAGAAGAGATTTAAAATGAATTAAAAATGCGGTAAACTGTCAAAACTGGGGTTCCAGTCTAGTACTACAATAAAGCTGCACAAAAAAACTTTAAAATTACCTGATTCAGTTTCGGCTGATGTTTTTTTTCATGTTTCTCTGAATAGTTAGGATGGATAGCATGCGCTACATCTGCAGATATCATGAAGGAGTTCCTAAAAAGGATAGTTAGGATGGATAGCATGCGCTACAACTGCAGGTATCATGAAGGAATTCCTAAATAGGATAGTTAGGATGGATAGCATGCGCTACATCTGCAGATATCATGAAGGAATTCCTAAACAGGATAGTTAGGATGGAAAGCATTCGCTACATCTGCAGATATCATGAAGGAATTCCTGAATAGAAAAGTTAGGATGGATAGCATGCGCTACATCTGCAGGTATCATGAAGGAATTCCTGAATAGGATAGTTAGGATGGATAGCATGCGCTACATCTGCAGATATCATGAAGGAATTCCTAAATAGGATAATTAGGATGAATAGCATGCGCTACATCTGCAGATATCATGAAGGAATTCCTAAACAGGATAGTTAGGAGGGAAAGCATGCGCTACAACTGCAGGTATCATGAAGCAATTCCTAAATAGGATAGTTAGGATGGATAGCATGCGCTACATCTCCAGATGTCATGAAGGAATTCCTAAACAGGATAGTTAGGATGGAAAGCATTCGCTACATCTGCAGATATCATGAAGGAATTCCTGAATAGAAAAGTCAGGATGGATAGCATGCGCTACATCTGCAGGTATCATGAAGGAATTCCTGAATAGGATAGTTAGGATGGATAGCATGGGCTACATCTGCAGCTATCATGAAGGAATTAATAAATAGGATAGTCAGGATGGATAGTTAGGATGGATGAAATGCGCTACATCTGCAGATATTATGAAGGAATTCCTAAACAGGATAGTTAGGATGGATAGCATGCGCTACATCTGCAGATATCATGAAGGAATTCCAAAATAGGATGGTCAGAATGAATAGCATGCGCTACATCTGCATATATCATGAAGGAATTCCTAAATACGATAGTTAGAAAGTGAAGGAATTCCTAAATAGGATAGTTTGGATGGATTGCATGAGCTACATTTGGAGTTATCATGAAGGAATTCCTAAATAGGATAGTCAGATGGATAGTTGTGAAGGATAACATGCCTATATCTGGAGGTATCATGAAGGAATTCCTTAACAGGATAGTTAGGAAGGATAGCATGCGCTACATCTGGAGGTATCATGAAGGAATTCCTAAAAAGAATAGTTATAATGGATAGCATGCGCTACATCTGCAGATATCATGAATGAATTCCTAAATAGGATAGAAAGGATGTATAGCATGCGGCACTGTATCTGGAGGTATCATGAAAGAATTCCTAAATAGGATAGTTAGGATGTATAGCAATGTGCTACTTCTGCAGATATCATGAAGGAATTCCTAAATAGGATAGTTAGGATTGATAGCATGCCCTACATCTGGAGGTATCATGAAGGAATTCCTTAATAGGATAGTCAGGATGGATATTTAGGATGGATAGAATGCGGTACATCTGCAGATATTATGAAGGAATTCCTAAACAGGTTAGTTAGGATGGATATTATGCCTTACCCCTGGAGGTATCATGAAGGAAATCCTAAATAGGATAGTTAGGATGGATAGCATGCGCTACATCTGCAGATATCATGAAGGAATTCCTAAATAGGATGGTCAGAATAAATAGCATGCGCTACATCAGCATATATCATGAAGGAATTCCTAAAAATGATAGTTAGGAAGTGAAGGAATTCCTAAATAGGATAGTTTGGATGGATTGCATGCGCTACATTTGGAGGTATCTTGAAGGAATTCCTAAATAGGATAGTCAGGATGGATAGTTGGGAAGGATAGCATGCGCTATATCTGGAGGTATCATGAAGGAATTCCTTAACAGGATAGTTAGGATGGATAGCATGCGCTACATCTGGAGGTATCATGAAGGAATTCCTGAAAAGGATAGTTATAATGGATACCATGCGCTACATCTGCAAATATCATGAAGGAATTCCTAAATAGGATAGTTAGGATGTATAACATGCGGCACTATATCTGGAGGTATCATGAAGGAATTCCTAAATAGGATAGTTAGGATGTATAGCAATGTGCTACATCTGCAGATATCATGAAGGAATTCCCAAATAGGATAGTTACGATGGATAGCATGCCCTACATCTAGGGTTGTTAATCGTTTTTGTAAACGATCGTTAAACGATCTTTTTTTGTTTCGTTTTCTAAAACGATCGTTTCGTTTTCAGAAATAAACGATCGTTTTTAAAAACGACCCACTCGTTTTGAACTTTTAGAAAACGAATAGCGATCGTTTTTGAAAAAGATCGTTTTGAAAAACGATCTTTTTAAAAACGAGAGTTTTGAAAAACAATCGTTTTAAAAACGACCATTTTTAAAAAACGAACTGAAAAATGAAAACGTTAACATCCCTACCTACATCTGGAGGAATAATGAAGGAATTCCTAAATTGGATTGGTAGGATGGATAGCATGCGCTACATCTGCAGATATCATGAAGGATTTCCTAAATAGGATAGTTAGGATGGATAGCATGCGCTACATCTGCAGATATCATGAAGGAATTCCTGGATAGGATAGCAATACATCTGCAGATATTATATGACTAAAATACGACTTCCGTCTTATGAAGATATGTTAGGAATAATTGTAAAAACTTCATATCTCCCCCAATAAATAAGTTTACACCTGATTGTAATTTTCAGAGTTTCATCTGATGAATCAAAGCATCCCAGCACACGTGATAAACCATCAGACATGACAGGGCTACCAGCACCTTATTTAAGGGACTGTAAACGTAATTAATCCACGTTTTAACCGACTATTTTCATATTGGGTTCTTAAAAGAGTGAATCGCGGATTTATGCTACAGAAACATGGAGGAGTTCGTCAGAACTAAAATCTTAATGAAAAAGACTTAATGATACCGTTGTAAATAGACCATTTAGAGGCTCCCTGAAAATATCTTACTGCAGAAATCTATAAAGTCTCACATTGAAACGAGATTGTGATAATTTTTGCTCAGCAAAAACCTTTTTTCAAAAGCAGGCAAGTAACTTTTTAAATTAAATGGAAGGTCACTTGTAATTACTTGACAGTTTCTATATTTAAAGGAGGGTTACTCCCAAGGTTGTACAGTGATGTTGGATTCCAATGTACTAGACATGTCGTCTTTTTTGCAATGGACAAACCAAATCTAAGCGGAGAAAATCTTTCCATCCTCTCGCCAGCAACTTTGTCATTTCGTCCTGCACCAATAATCAGTTACGTCATATGTGGATTTCGAGTGTCCATTTCTATGAAGACGACATTTCTAGTGGATTGGAGCGCATCCAGAGGATCTAACGAGGGGAGGAAGGCCAGCCACAACAATTTCTTGTCCGAGCCACCTCGAAAACCTCGTTCTTTGCTTCTTATGTGTCTTTAAGTTTCTAAATCTTGAAGATAAAGCTATCTTTTAAAATCTGGCCAAGTTAGGGCATAAAATATGGATAGACTAAATATTGCAATGATTACATCATGTTGAAATCTTCAAAGCCTCTGAGGCTGGCTAAACCATCCTAATTCCTTCGAGTACAGCAATTTGGATGATTCATCCAAATTGTCAGGAATAGTCCCTTTAAAACTATAAACTTTAGAATAGTACGAGCATGGCACGAAGCTGGTACGAGAGCATGCGCGCAAAAGGAATCGAGAGCTCGCGAAGGAGCGGCAGACAAACGGGGCGCGGTACCAAGTCTTCATCGGGGCCTGTAAGGCCTTTAAGCCTTCACTTCCATTCGATCCGGCATTGCAATAACCAAATTGAATTTCAACTTAAATTTTATTTTCAGATAATATGCAATGGGAGATCATTTATACTTGCGCTTCCATCTGTAAAATCAATAAGTATTCTACTTATAAATTTTATACAAGCTATGAGAATGATGTCAAACTTTATTTAGGTGAAACTTAAATCTCTTCTGCCTCCGTAATGGCTAACCTTCGTGATACAAAATAAATAGCAAAATATTTGCCATACCTCTGCCTATAATTTTCCCCATGGAACCACCCGGAAAAATTCTATGGTGTCCGCTAAAATTAACAAAAAAGATCAAAGTTCTTTAAACTTGGAATTATTTGCGGCATTCTATACCTAGATAATCTGAAAATGCCCGTAAGAAAGGTGAATATTTTTCAGGAAATTGTACTCAAAAACTTAAATTCTATTGAAAGTATTTCTTTCTATTTACAAAAATTTAATATTTCTTTAATGATCTAAATAACCTTACTATACAAACATAGTTACTCCAAATTATGTGGCTAATGGATATTTTGATATCCTCTTCATAAATAATTTAAACTTCTTCTGCTTCTTTATTTGTTGGTAATAATTATAGAACAGATGATGGGGGGAGTTTAACTGGAAAACAAATAAGATATTTTAAGTAAGGATAAGTAAAGTACAGTTTGTATACTGATACTGTATACTAATACTTACATGAGTGTCATCTACTATGAGAAGAAATCAAAGTATGTTTACATCAGCGTCCATAGTTAGCTTTAGCCTTACTGAAGTTATACTCAAGGGCCGACAGGCATATACACTCTAATTTGCGTTAAGGTGTGCGCGTAACAATTGGAAAACTATTGAAAATGTAATTTATTCTATTCATTGAAAAAAGGGAATAGATCAAATTCCTAATTTCAAAACGCTGGACACTGGAGATACAGCTACGAAGTCGTACCTTGAGCTGAATCTGAACCTATCTCCTCATGATCAAAGCAAGCAAGCATTGATACTCCAGTATCATTAGATAGATCTTTACTGTGCTCCAGCAGTGCAGATAATCCTTAATATAGCACAAGATCAATTATATAATCAAATCCTTCAAGTAGCACAATATCAATTATACAATGAAATCCTTCAAGTAGCACAACATTTCAATTATATAATCAAATCCTTCAAGTAGCACAACATCAATTATATAATCAAATCCTTCAAGTAGCACAATATCAATTATACAATCAAATCCTTCAAGTAGAACAATATCAATTACATAATCAAATCCTTCAAGTAGCACAACATCAATTATATAATCAAATCCTTCAAGTAGCACAATATCAATTATAGAATCAAATCCTTCAAGTAGCACAACATCAATTATACAATAAAATCCTTAAAGTAACACATGATCAATTATATTATCAAATTCTTCAATTAACACAATATCAATTATATAATCAAATCCTTCAAGTAGCACAATATCAATTATACAATCAAATCCTTCAAGTAGCACAACATCAATTATATAATCAAATCCTTCAAGTAGAACAACATCAATTATATAATCAAATCCTTCAAGTAGCACAATATCAGTTATACAATCAAATCCTTCAAGTAACACAAGATCAGTTATACAATCAAATCCTTCAAGTAGCACAATATCAATTATACAATCAAAGCCTTCAAGTAGCACAACATCAATTACATAATCAAATCCTTCAAATAGCACAATATCAATTATACAATCAAATCCTTCAAGTAGAACAACATCAATTATATAATCAAATCCTTCAAGTAGCACAGTATCAATTACATAATCAAATCCTTCAAGTAGCACAGTATCAATTATATAATCAAATCCTTCAAGTAGCACAAATCAATTATAAATCAAATCCTTCAAGTAGCACAACATCAATTATATAATCAAATCCTTCAAGTAGCACAGTATCAATTACATAATCAAATCCTTCAAGTAACATAAGATCAATTAATTAAACAAATCCTTCAAGTAGCACAATATCAATTATATAATCAAATCCTTCAAGTAGCACGATATCAATTATACAATCAAATCTTTCAAGTAGCACGATATCAATTATACAATCAAATCCTTCAAGTAGCACAGTATCAATTATACAATCAAATCCTTCAAGTAGCACAACATCAATTATACAATTAAATCCTTCAAGTAGCACAATATCAATTATACAATCAAATCCTTCAAGTAGCACAACATCAATTACATAATCAAATCCTTCAGGTAGAACAACATCAATTAATTAAACAAATCCTTCAAGTAGCACAACATCAATTAATTAAACAAATCCTTCAAGTAGCACAATATCAATTATATAATCAAATCTTTCAAGTAGCACAACATCAATTATACAATCAAATCCTTCAAGTAGCACAACATTTCAATTATATAATCAAATCCTTCAAGTAGCACAATATCAATTATACAATCAAATCCTTCAAGTAGCACAATATCAATTATATAATCAAATCTTTCAAGTAGCACAACATCAATTATACAATCAAATTCTTCAATTAACACAATATCAATTATACAATCAAATCCTTCAAGTAGCACAATATCAATTATACAATCAAATCCTTCAAGTAGCACAACATCAATTATACAATCAAATTCTTCAATTAACACAATATCAATTATATAATCAAATCCTTCAAGTAGCACAATATCAATTATATAATCAAATCCTTCAAGTAACACAACATCAATTATAAAATCAAATCCTTCAAGTAGCACAATATCAATTATATAATCAAATCCTTCAAGTAGCTCAACATAAATTATACAATCAAATCCTTTAAGTAGCACAGTATCAATTATACAATCAAATCCTGCAAGTAACACGATATCAATTATACAATCAAATCCTTCAAGTAGCACCACATCAATTATATAATCAAACCCTTCAAGCAGCATAACATCCTTCACAAAAACATGAACAATGACCAAAATATTTATTAAAAAAAGACCAATTACAAATTAAAAGCTTAATAATCAGTAATTAGTATCTTTGCACTTTTGGTCCTAGTGTTTTATACCTCAAGTTTACTAATTACATTATTTGGATGAGTATAATAAAAAAATTTAAAAATCTTTGAATTTTAACTCACTCTAATGTGCCCTTAAATTTTTACTCGCTTGTAACAATTGTGCTTTGATTGTAGGTTAATCAGTGATAAATAATCACTATATTTAAAATCCTAAAATGAACATAAAATACCTGTGAAACAATGAACCTGGTTGTCTAGCCTAGGGCTGGATAAAAACTCATTCCTGCAGCATACAAAATACATGATAATAATATCATGATAAATTATTTTTATGATATTAATATAAAAATGAGAATAATAAGAAAAGTGAGTTAAATATACGCACTTAGGTCCCCAAGTTGCTCCTGGTTGAGTATCAGTAAGAGTGAGCTCCATGTCTTTAATCTGATCTACTTGAACTCCTAGTTCTCCAGCTAGTAGTTCCAGTAGGACGGAGCTATGCTGACCCTCATCCTTCTATATATTTTACAATTAACAATATTAGTTAATCTGGTCTTTCTGGTGAAGAGTTGACTCCAACATGGCTAGGGTTGGTTAAAGATGGTTCTCCTTGTTTATATACCTGGTCAAGAGTAGACTCTACCATGGCTAGGATTGGTTGGAGATAGTTCTCCTTAATAATATACCTGGTTAAGTGTTGACTCCACCATGACTAGGATTGGTTGAAGATGGTTCTCCTTGATAATATACTTGGCTAAGTGTTGACTCCATCATGGCTAGGATTGGTTGAAGATGGTTCTCTTTGATGATATACTTGGTTAAGTGTTGACTCCACAAAAGCTAGGATTGGTTGAAGATGGTTCTCTTTGATGATATACCTGGTTAAGTGTTGACTCCACCATGGCAAGGATTGGTTGAAGATGGTTCTCTTTGATGATATACCTGGTTAAGTGTTGACTCCACCATGGCTAGGATTGGTTGGAGATGGTTCTCTTTGTTAACGGTAAAGGAAGATCTCTCTTCACTAGACTGGAGATGAATACAGAGGTTGGGTACACGAAGTAGTGGACGCTTCAGATTTACCAGCTCTCTATACTCATTTTTTCGTTATAAATGAAACATTTAAAAAAGGATGGATACATGTATAGATGAATAAATGATAGGATGAATAACTAAATAAATGACTACAAGAGAGGAGTAATACATGAATAAATGAAAAATAAAAATAAATAGATTAATAAATGAATAAATGTCAGAATGAATAAATGAATACATGAGAAGATAAATAAATGAATACATGAGAGGATGAATAAATGAATAAATGAGAGGATGAATAAATGAATAAATGAGAAAATGCATATATGAATAAATGAAAACATGAGAGAATAAATAAATTAATAAATGAGATGATGAATAAATTAATAAATGAGAGGATGAATAAATGAATACATGAGAGGATGATAGAATGAATAAATAAGATGATGAATAAAAAAATGAATAAAATGAAAAAATAAATAAATGAAAGAATGAATAGATAATCAAAATTAAAATAAAAAATATGAATCTGATTCCTAGTGAAAGCTCCCTCCTTCTCTATGATGACACACCCAGCTAGAGTCAGATCCCGGTCAAACCAGGTATGCCATAATCCACCACCGTAACATTCAACACCAACCTTAAAAATAAACAAACTTTTACATTTTTGGAGGAGAGAGGAGGGGGTTGTCACCGTTCCAAATAATAGATTATAAAAGGTAGCATAAATCTTAATCCTCTTTCAAAAATCATCTTACTCAAAGAATGTTGTTCAGAAGGAGATAACATAGCATAAGAAATTGACACTTTTTTTGCACTTCTGCAGCTGACGTAACCAGAGATAGAATTTTGTGAAAAGTGGGTCTAACTGTGTATGAATAATTGAACTACTTCTGTGCACTCACTCGGTAACTTAACAATCAAGAAGTGTTTCCGTACATAGTTCCACTACCAGTACCCACCTATCCAGGAATGTCAGCTGCAAAAAAAAACTTATAAATGACCTGTAAATATCCGTTTGAAGTCCTGTTTGAGACAGGTTTAACCTTGAGTACAGGAGAATCAGTGTGAGCTCCAATAACCTGAAGATATTAACTTAAAGGGAGTGTTCACTATACATTAAATCAAATCATTGACGTTGAAGGGACTGTCTTAGTTATTTTTGGTCACAAGAGGGGCATGCCTGATTCACAATGGTACCCTTGACACCTTTATCTAATTAATATTGATTAACGATATTGTCGTTTTTATCGCTTTAAAAGGTATTAATTCTGATTATAAATAATTTCTACATTGATGTCTGTACTACCAATACCCAAGTAATTTTAGTAGAGAAACCACAATTGAAAATAACAGTTTAAAAAAATATTTGATATGATCTAATTTATACTTTATTGGACAAACTTTCATGGGCAGGTCTGTAAATCGACCGTTGCCATCTTTAATTCGAGAATCACTTGAAATAACAATACCTTTAATGAGCCGTAATAATAAGGATTAATATTATAAATATATTATATAAAAATAAGGATCAAATTACCTTGAATTCATTTCCTGGGACATACTTGTCCCCAACTGCAAATGCGACGAGGGTAGATCTATTTCTGTGATAGAAATATTTCCCTCCCACCTGTACTTGTCCCTTCCAGACATCTCTTTCATTTAACTACGCAATATCACAATTTTTAAAAATCCTTCAATCTATTGAGAACGCTTAACAAGTTAAATTGGCGGACAAAGTTAAAATAACAGACAAAAGTTGGTAGACTAAAATGACTAACCTTTCCATGGCTGCTTGAAATAAAATGTCTGACTAAGGATAAAATTACTAATTATAAGTTAAAGGACTGCTTAAATTCAAAACAATGGCTAAAATGAGTTAAAATGGCGGACTTAAGTTAAGATGGTTGACAAAAGATAAAATGGCCGACTAAAACCATTTAAATTATCATTCGTACCTGTTTGAAGCCAGCAGTTTCAAGAACGGATTCAGCCTTGGCCACCACGTGGAACGGAGTAGGGGAAGCGTCAACAAAACTTAGCAAATCTTTAGCAGCGGCCATATTGAATCTGGTCTCTGAAAATGTTCGAACTCCTGTAGGCAGAAATGCGGGAAAACGTGGAACTTGAAATACTAGCGGCTTACAAAATAACCGAAGTCCAATTTTCACATTGATTATCATTTTAAAAATATAAATTCTCTGCAAATATGCGAATATAAATAAGAAAACGAGACATGAGGATGAACTACCAAAAAAATACAGCTACTTCGTTATTTGGTTACTTAGTAATTCCAGGTAAAATTTAAGTATTCAGAGCTGAAAACTTTAAAATGGGATATCCTTAATCACGATCCTTAATCTTAGTTTCCAATGTACAAACTTTTGATTTTCTTCTTAATCCTCTCTTTTGGATACCCACTGCATAAAAGTTAGGTCAACAATTAAAGATACGATGCTATATCGATTGTACTAATATCTGATTAAACATTAGTTCACAAGCTGGCACAAAAATGAATTTAATCATGGTAATATGAACTTATAAAAAACATATTTTATCATATTTGAGGACAGAAGTTATTTTGAACAAATTAGTCCTAATAGACATTAATCCAAAACTTTCGTTCAATCCATCATTAGTTCAATTAACATGACACCACAAATGCGGGAAAATTAAAAACCGGTTTTATAGTTAAAAAGCGCATTTCTAATCTCTAGAAATTAATTAGAACTAAATTAGTCTTGAGAACAGCAGAAAGAAAGGATCAAGCATTGATCTTAATATCCACCATTCTAAAGTTTTCAGCTCAGGTCTAAGTTCACGTACTCCAGGTTAGGTAGGTAAGCACTCCAATTCAGGTTTAGTTGCTTCAAGTTTACTCCAAGTGAAGCACTCCCAGGTTAATCTGTTCCAGAAGCCAGGAGTGGTAAATGTTTAACTTTTTGTCCCTAAACGTAAGAAAGAACGTCGTTTACACTTATTTCTAATCTGGAGCATAAAGAGTTATTCCACTCTCTCAGGGGGAAGAGTTACATGCTCAATTAACAAAAATACATTTTGGTCCTTAATCAGATAAACAATGAGGAACATATCGTATTCATCTGTCATGAAATCTATCCAATATCCTTATTGTCTGCTGCAAAAAATTCGCAATTCACTCTAACCGAAAACAACCGCAATTGAATATAATCCATTTTAAGCCAAAAATAATGATATCTCTTTCATTTTTATTCGGATATAGATTTAAAGTCTACTTCTGTGAGTCAGGCATACAATTCTTTAATTGTGTAATCTTAAAAATTAGATTTACAGTTTCGTAGAAATTAATAAATTAATTTGAGGCCGAATTTAAAGAATTTGCGCCGCTGTTTAAATTTAAGCCGCGGCTTAAGTATGGCTGGTTTCACTTGAAATTGTATCAAAATTTAAGCCGGCGCTCAATTTAAACCGGGTTTTGGTGGATTTAAGACGCGACTTAAATTCTTTAAATTCGGCCTTTGAATACCTCGGTTTAACTGTCTTCCATTCACCCAGACAGAAAAGTCGAAATGAATCATCTCCATACTTTCCTGAAAACACAACAACTGATCAAAGACTATATTTTGCTTGAAATTCTCATTACATCTGTATGTGGGCAAAATATATTATTTAAAGTGACTGTGGCGTAATTGTAAGCGATTTGCTAAGAGTGACATCTAATTCAAAAAAGTATACCCTCTTAGTCCATGAAGTTCTCTATAAGAAAAATTATAATTGAAAATAATTCATATTTATCTAGAAAAAATTAAAAATATCATCCTTTCTTGGACAAAATTAAATAATACCCTTGTGAATTGGAGATGCCAATCTAAATTAAGGGTCTCTTGAAATTACGTCTTTAATCCCTTCAAACATGAAGAAAGCATGCACAAAAACGACAAAAACAGATAATTCTATTAAGTTTCATGGTTGCAATTAACAGACAATTAACAGAAAACAATTAACAATAGACAATTAATAGAAGACAATTAACAGAAGACACTGAACGATATACAATTAACAGTTGACAATAAGATTAAGCAGTAGACAATTAACAGTAGACACTTAACAGTAGACAGTTACCAGTAAACTAAAAGCAGTAGACAATTAACAGTAGACAATTAGCAGTAGACAATTAGCAGTAGAGTGTTATCAGTAGACAATTAGCAGTCGACAATACACAAAAGACAATTAACAGTTGACAATGAAAAGTGAACAATTAACATTATACTATTAGCATTAGCCAATTAACATAAAGAGAATACATTTAACAGGACAGTTTAAAGTAGACAGTTAGCAGTAGACAATTAAATAAATCCAAAAAATACCTATTCCATACAACTCTTGAGGATACAGCCAATCGTTACTAAAAATTGACAAAATTAATTATTTTTATATTTTCAAAATTATTTTTTTCCTGTTGCGTCGTGGTTACATTGACCCCCTCACGCAGAGGGCTACTGTGCACACAGGGGTATTAGGGGGGGGGGGGGGGGGGGGGGGAAAAAATATTGAGTTTACACCATAAACCTCTTATTCGAGTCAAATAAGGCTCGGTCGCTTGAGTAATTTTTTTAGACAAGTCTCTGAGCCATTGTAATGCTGTGTTGAAGTGTTGAAATCCGAAGGAAAACTGGCAATTTCCGTGAAAACTCTTAAAATGGGTATTTTAACATGAATCAGAGACCAAACTAAGAATATATAGAGAGAACTGGACAATGACAAGACGTTTTGTGTAGAAGAATGATTGAGTCAATAAAACCCACCATATCTTCTTGATGTAAAGCTTCAGGTAGTTGAGGTTTGTGATCTCCTTCACATCCAACCTCTGCTTGATGTAAAGCTTCAGTGAGTTGAGGTTTGTGATCTACTTCTCATCCAACCTCTGCTTGATGTAAAGCTTCAGGGAGTTGAGGTTTGTGATCTCCTTCTCATCCAACCTCTGCTTGATGTAAAGCTTCAGGGAGTTGAGGTTTGTGATCTCCTTCTCATTCAACCTCTGCTTGATGCATTTAGATTGTCCAAATGTTTTCTTTTGGCACATTAGGATTGGGACAAGGTTTTATGTAGAAAATCTCCAGGCGTTTTGCACCTATCATCACCAAAGGAGAAGAACAAGTATAAAGAAGACTATCAAAACAAAGTTGATTTTGATGAAACTTGAACCAAAGTAGTAAATATATACATCCTTATACCAATAAACTGTTTTAGTCATCGTGGTTCAGCTTTTATAAGAATATATTTAGAAGTCCTGAACATTTTTTACTCACCCTTTAGGATTGATACAATGTTTATAATTGAAAAGATTATCAGAATATATTCTCAACATGAAACACAAGACAAATGCATTTTAAGACGAGTAATTTGACAAAAACCAGTCACCCCCCCTGACCCCCTAAAATACCCCCTCTGACTCTTTATTTATAGAGTGACTTGTCCGATTTACGACGGTACCTTTACAATGTTAAACAATAAAAAGAATTTAGTAAAAATTTGAAAATAAAAAGGGATTATAATCGGATTATTTTTTCTATCACATCCTAATTTGATATTATTTAATTATTTTATCAACAACTAAAGCCAAGAAAAACATAAATTAATTTTTGTTTTTTATTTACCTAAAAAACTCCTGAGAAAACCTCTGAAGAGTTTTTCCTCGTATATTGTTAAGTCCAAGAGGTTTCAGAAACTCTGACAAATCATCAATCGAACTCTCTGAAGAAATACAATTTTTTCCCCAAAAAATTCTAATAAAAAACATATTCTGATCATAGCAAAGAAAAGTCACATTCCACATATTTCATAATTCCCAGCTTAGAATAGGACTCCATATACATTATACAAAACAATAAAAAAGTAATAATTTTGATTTTTTACATTTTTGGATTTAAATTAGTACTAAGCACTAAAAAATCTAAACAATTAAGACGGCTCAGAGGAACAATAGACATAAATTTAAGTGACTCTCCATTAAAAAAGAGTGGCATTTAGGATTCGCAACAGTACCATAGAACCATGCTACCATAGTAACAAACAATAAGCACGATATCGTCCTTTCTCTCTTAAATCGTGTTAAATATTAAATTACTATTAAATATTTAATTGTGTGTTACGCCAGCACACGCAGCGTAGTTAAGGTCTGTGAAATATCCCTGTTCTCTGGGGAGGACCTATTCTCCCCTGTAACGTATAGATAAGTGTTTTCCAGAAGAAGATTGAAATAAAGAACCTGTTTTTTGCCGACAACTTTTTGCATACTGCGCAGGCGCAACGAATTTGTGTCCTTTATTTACAGTTTTGCAGTATATTTGTCGGATTTAGATTTAGTTGTATTATAGAATGTTTTGTGATTATTTTCGTGCTGAAATCAGCGGACAACTATGGTAAATATGATTCTAAATATTTAAATATTCTTTTGTGTTTTTTGTGTTGCACATATATGATAAATATGGGCTTGTTCGCAGTTTTTAATGCCTGATGATTATGATATCTTTGTTCAATGAAAATGATTTGTATTACGCTCGTCAATGCTTTTTCTGTGATCCTAAAAGGTTTTATTTTTTTTATCAAACTGAAGTGCCGTTCCTCAATAAAACTTGAAGCCCTTTCCTGTGTTTTTATTCATTGTAAATATAAGACCGACACTATATAATTGGGGGGGTCACGTGAAAGTACGTTTACAGTCCCTTTAATTCCTGTGTTTATTAGACCACTCTGTTCTAACCTGCAACTGTTTGCGGATCAGGGAAAGTACAAAAAAACTTGTTCAAAAGAGGAAGCGCAACCTAGGAGTAAATATATTCAAGTTAGATTAAATGAATATGGAGAAGTACAGAGGTTTTCCTGAAAAAATCATCCCCCTTTTCGAAAACCAATTTTCCACGGAAGACAGATATGTTTTATATAAAGAAGACATTTCGAAAAATGCTTCAACTCAGAATTGATTCTGGAAAAGTTGGCAGCTTAAGTATTAAAAAGGATTAATAATCTTGCATCTTGATGTCCAATTTTTATCTTTTAATTTAATTTTTAATCTTCAAAGTTCTTAATTCTTAAAAATATTCACCATTGGAAAAGAAGTTAAACTGGGTATGGTTGGTTGGTTGGACCACTTGATTAGTGCACTCTAGAGAAGTGATCCAACTATCCTCACATAGTGCCAGTACTTGTCACAAATTCATTACGTACCAGCTTAGATATATCATTAAGTGTTCTGGACCTGTAATAACGTCACGGCTAGAATTTATCAATGGTATTCGCCGTACCATGTGTAGTTGCTTAAAATGATACTGTCAATTCACGAGTATTTATAAATCAAAGGTCTTCTTTCAAATATTTATTCTGTGAAACAAAAATAATTCAGTCTTTTTAAAAAAACTTTTTCTTATTTCAAAATGAAATGTGTGGTTTAAACTGCGTGGGAAACTAAAATAGATGGAGTTTCAAGCTTTAAGAAAGGGGGGGGGGGCAATTACTCCCAGCTACAGGAGAAAGAATCTGTAAGTCCACGCCTTTCAAAATTATTACAATATTTAAGTAAATGCCCGACACTATCTAAGCATTTATTTCTTTTCTCTTCGGTAATTTACAACATGAAAGTAATTAAACATGATGAAACTATTAAAAAAATTGTTTTGTGGGAAACACTGTTTAAATATTTTTTTCATATTATGATATTACTAAGAAACTTGTCTCCAATTAACTACTTTAACCACAGTTATAGTATAAGCCCATCAACCCTGATAATAAAGTTTGAAAATATAAGTGAGTTGGGAAACCACTGTGAAGTGAGAAGATAACAGATTTAGTTCTGAAATCTGAACAGGGGGGGTGAAAGTAATCTTTTACTAAAACTTTAACATTAAACAAATTTCACCCATCTCTTTTAGGCTTCCTTTGAGTACTTTGGCGGCCTTCTGAGATCTTGCAAGATCCCAGGCCAAGAAAGGGTCCTGGCCTGGTAGATTTGACCTGTTAGTAAAAATAAAATCGAATTTTGAAAATTACCCAAGAAAAACAGGAAGTTCCACGAAATTTTTGAATGAGATAAATTATTATATGATATTACATATAGCTTGTTTATTTGTTACGGGGTAGTCTGTATTAAAAAAAAACATCAAACCAGTCAAACCAATTTGGCCAAAGACTTTTTCTTACAATAATTACTTTTCCGCGTGTTTTAAAGAAATATAGTTGTTACTAGAAGCATCCATGGCGTTCTGTAACAGCTGTTATTGCAATCATTACCTTTCCGTGTGTTTTATTGAGAAATATAGTTGCTACCAGAAGCTTCCATGGTGTTCTATACAATTGTTCTTGTATCAGTCCGTGAGGGGAGCACGGGGGCACCCACTTAAAAAATCATATTTCAGTATAATTAATTGTCAGGAAAAAACAATAATTTTTTTATAAAAAGAATTAAAAACACTGTACTGGATTAAAAGTTATCAAGCAAATCAGCCATAATCAAAGCAATGGATAATTTAAAAAATGAATTTTCAAGTTTTTTAAAATTTTAATTAACCTTTTTTCTTTTAAACTCTAACAGACCCTTTGCTGCTGTAAAATTCTTCCGTTTGGATTTATTTCTGCAGCGAGAAAAATATTTACTTCTACATAACTTCTTTGTGTCCTTCAGATCGTTGCACATTTTGGGAAAAACATCTAAAAAATGAGTCATGATTTGTATGATATTTATAAACAAATATCATCACCAGGAATTGAACAGCTGATTGTAAACATTTAATGCAATGGCAAAGGGAATTATTTTTAATTTCAAATTTGATAGAATACTTGAATTATGACAAGGGGAAAAAGAGAACTTTCAATTCTATGAGGGTATTGACATTAAAACTTTTCAAATAACTGGGAAATTTGGCATTTGGCATTTGACAGAATTTCAATTAATATTTAAGTATTTTAATGATTAAATGCGGGAAATGCCGCATGAATGAATCTTCCATTTGTGGATTACAATAAAATCAGCACTGTTGGAGTGTGATGAATTATAATCCTGGTAGGATCTTCTTATAATCCTATCTGATAGGATCTTCCATTAGGATTATGAACTGGAGAACAGATGGGTTCAGATATACTCCATTCATACCAGACATGATGCTAAACAATACTTTTCAACGAAAGTCCAGATTTTTTTAGAAAGAAATTTGAAAAAATTTACCGTTTTAACACACTAATAATAAGTTGCATACTATGCTCTATGTCAACTAGTTTAAATTTCTTTCAAAAGTTGAGTGAAACAACAACCCAAATAAATCAGTGAACACTGAAAAATGCATAGATGCTGTGTATCATGTTTCACTTTAACTTTTAAAACTTAGTCGCAATTTCTTTAAAAGTTCAAACCATTCACTAACAAAAATATTAGTTAAACAATCTTTAACTTAATCGTAAATAGTTTGAAGACCAATCTTAAAATAAAATGAGCATCAAGCAAACTGATGACTAAAACTACGGGGATCAAAATAAAAAGTAAAAAAAAAAAGATGAATCATAAGATGCGAGTATTGGTTCCTTAGAAACACATCTCCAGAAATTTAACTTCAGGTTCTCCCCTCTCTTCATCTGCAGGGGTTCCAGTAATGGGAACATTATAGGAAACCAGGAGAACATTTCTATAAAGAGAAGAGTTACAAGGAAACATTATAGGGAACCAGGAGAACATTTATAGAAAGAGAAGAGTTACAAGGAAACAAACATTATAGGGAACCAGGAGAACATTTCTAAAAAGAGAAGAGTTCCAAGGAAACATTTTATACATGGCTTCACAAAAGATCAAAAATAAAAATAAATTCTTATGTTTGACGGGACACCCTGTAAAATGTACATAACCCTACCTGGACTATGAGTAGCAGGTAGAATACTGATCATTATATTCTTGTACAGTGTACACTCAAAGTACCCGCCAAATCCATGCAGAACACTGTCACAACGGATTTTAAAGTCCAACTCCTAAAAATTACGCTTTTAACAAACCTTAAGGGACTGCAAAGGAAAAAGGAAAGGGGGTATAGGCTGAAAGCTTTAGCTCTTGATCGTGACCCATGAAAGTTTTATCTGATGTTCTTGTCTCGAGAAATTGATATAAAACTGTGTTAAAATTATACGAAAGTTCATAAGTGTAAAATTTAGAAAATCTTAAATTTAAATCACTTGACCAGAACTATCACCAATGGCAGAGCAGTATACTGGTCAAGTGTCTACGCCTGTATCACGTGACCACTTTACTGCACTGCCATTGGTGGAATTTATGGTCAAGCAATACGGACGTATAAATGATATTATGAATTAAATCTATAAAAAATAGAAATAACAAATATAAAATAAGAATTGGAGTAAACCTAAGTTACAATTAGCTTTCTCTGGGATATCACCGTTTTCAGATTGGTTGCATATTTGCTGAATTTGATCTTTTTAAACCTACTACTTTTATACAAAATTGTATATATATATCTTAATTTTCGTATAAATTTGACAAAGTTGTAAATCAATTTCTCGAGATAGGAACATCAGATATAACTTTTATGGGTCGCGATTGAGAGCTTAAGTGATTAGCTTTCAGCCTATACCCCATTTCATTTTTCCCTTTAAGTCGTAATTTTAAGTGAACCTTAAAAAATAATGACGAGTTAAGAAAGAAAAACGATGATATCTTCCTCTTTGCTACTGATATATATGACACTCTTTTAGTTAGGGTTCGCTTGAAATTACTTTTTCAGTCAAAATTAAAAATTAAAGGCTTTGGATTAAGAATTGAAATATTTTGGACATTTAAAAAAATAAGTCGGCACAATTTAAACTTTCAATAATTCGCGATAATTCGAATGCATGACTCTTTGGTGTCGGAAGGGGCAAGGGTGAACACGAAAAAAACGAAATTGGCCTTTTAGCCTTGTTTTTAGTTAACGTCCACTTAATGAGTTAAATGCTCGATTGACAAGGGTACCCCTTCACAACCTTAAACTGTAAAACAATAAGGAAGATATATATCGTCGTTTTATTGTCTTGTAAAGAGAGAAATAAAGTTCTTAATTATGCATACCTTGAACCTGGAGTTGTCTATGATTCTGTCTAGGTTAGGATGGTCGAAGGTGAACAAGGGTTGGGGCTCATCCAGCTCAACTCGGTTCTAAAAAATATTTTGATTTATAGAAAATGCAGGGGTATATATTTTCCAAAGAACTTCAACCCTACCCTATGTGTTTTTTGCATAAGTGGGAAAGAATGATTTTAAAAAGTTTTTGGTAAAATAATCAAAAAAAAGTGAAGGGAAATTACCTGCTAGTTAGGTCTAGTTTTTTTCCGTCCGAAAAAAGAAGACATTCCCGAAGAGGAAAGTTTTGTTAAAATTTTTTTTTTAATTATATAAAATTTCATAAATTACGACGTTATCCCCATACTTTCACTAAGTTAAAAATCTGTAAGAAACTTACCAGAAGATGAACAACATATGGAGTTTCAAACGCTGCCTTAGGATGTTTTGTATCATCCTTACTGTTCCTGTACTCGTTAAACAGTTTGGAACTCTGAAACAGTAATATTATCATTTATCATCCTTTGTTCCTGTACTCGTTTAACAGTTTGTAAATCTGAAACAGTTTGTAAATCTGAAACAGAAATATAATCATCCTTTGTTCCTGCATTCGTTAAACAGTTTGTAAATCTGTAACAGTAATATTATCATCCTTTGTTCCTGAACTCGTTTATCAGTTTGGAACTCTGAAACAGTAATATTATCATCCTTTGTTCCTGTACTCGTTTATCAGTTTGGAACTCTGAAACAGTAATATTATCATCCTTTCTTCCTGTACTCGTTTATCAGTTTGGAAATCTGAAACAGTAATATTATCATCCTTTGTTCCTGCATTCGTTTATCAGTTTGGAACTCTGAAACATGGATATTATCATTCTTTGTTCCTGTACTCGTTAAACAGTTTGGAACTCTAAAACAGAAATATTATCATTCTTTTTTCCTGTACTCGTGTTAAACAGTTTGGAACTCTAAAACAGTAATATAATCGTCCTTTCTGTTCCTGTTCCTGTACTCATCAAACAGTAATATTGAATATTGAAACAGTTATATTATAATTCTTACTGTTCCTGTACTTGTCAACAGTTTGAACTCTCAAACAGTCAACTAACCTCACCTGAAAAGGTCAGATGAACCAGGTGTAGAAGGATGGGGTTCAACAAAACTAAACTGAATAGGTCCGATGAACAAGTATGGGGTTCAACCAGACTAACCTGAATATGTCCGATGAACGAGGTGTAGGAGGATAGGGTTCAACCTGAATAGGTCTGATGAACGAGGTGTATGAGGATGGAGTTCAACCAGACTAACCTTAATAGGTCCGATGAACGAGGTGTAGGAGGATAGGGATAAACCAGACTAACCTAAATAGGTCCGATGAACGAGGTGTATGAGAATGGGGTTCAACCAGAGTAACCTGAATATGTTCGATGAACCAGGTGAAGGAGAATGGGGATCAGCTAGACTAACCTGATTTGGTCCGATGAACCAGGTGTATGATGATGGGGTTTAACAAGACTAACCTGAATAGGTCCGATGAACGAGGTGTATGAGGATGGGATGGAGATACCGCCAGGTTTAAGGAATTTTTGAGCACCATCCAAACATTCAGGACTTGACAATAAAATGAACTTTATAAATAATAATTTCTATAAAATAATATACAATATGAATAGCGAGACATAGTTGAACACCTTAAATTTTAGACTCAGTTGAACCACTTCTCATGTGACCTAGGTCAAGCTAAAGAGAACTGGTATATTTGTTTTGCTTAAGAAATATAAAAAATGGTTCGCAATAAAAGGACTGTAACGGTAATTTCCAGCGACACACTCTTTTTATAGAATGATAGGTTCGATTCCCCATGGTACCCGTAAAAGCTCTTTCTGATCAAGAATGAATGAGATATCCAATTTCCATATTTATCTCATTAAAAATCTGTTGTTCTCAATCGTCGATTCTCTATAAAAACAATTGACTTGCTAATTTCTACTGCGGAAAAAATGATGAAATTATAACAAATGAAAGCTAGAAAAACAACGATATCTTTAACATTATTGATCAGATAACAGTTAAAAGAGTAACGTTGTGAATTACACACCTGAGTTCGTTGTCCCCGAAACTTCCTAGTAGTTCTGATACTAGAATATCTGCATAATCTTCAGCTGGAGGATTCCAATCCCTCATATCACTGGATATCACGGTAACCTAATAGATTAACTTATTCAGAGTATTCAAAAGTGCCCAGCTAAACAAACATTATTTAACAATAAGACACCACAATGTACAATTTTTTATATATGCCTAGGGCTACAAAAAAGCATAATTGAGTTGGTGAGGTAAAACCAAAGGCTAAGGCGTTGCGACACTTCAAATTTAAGGCTGTCTAACAATTTGATGAATACCTTATACTCAGCGAAGTTTAAAGTAAGTAGAAATATACGATTGCAATAATATATATTAACCAATCTCTCATTGGTCATACTTATGATCAAATCCAATGTTTAAAAAAATCACACTGTCAGTGAGGATAAAGGTTTCCAATTTTCGCCGGATCAATTCAGTAGCGGAAATATTTTCCGGAACCTTTCCTGAAACCATTTTAAACTTTCGGAACTTAATGGTAGACCAAACTACGAGTAACTCTTAATCAATAAATTACTTGCTTGGTGGATTAAAATGATAATTATAAAAATTACCTAGAAACCATTATACATTTAATTTTTCAATGTTTGATAGTAAGATTGGTCGAATGATTAATTGATTGATTGACCTGATCTTTCCACTCCTCAATCTTGAGATGATGAAGAGTAACAATAGCATTAGGGTTTTTCTCCACAGCAAAAACACGGATCAGTCGACCAGCATTCTACTCAACATCAACATCCGATTAGGGATATATTTTTTTACTTGATAAATTATATGATTTTTCTCATTTTTGTGAAAATTAGATGATTTTTTTTTGTTAAATTATGAGACAGTTTGGAAACTAAATGATTTCATGGGAAAACAAAATGTTAGAAAATTTTTTTAAAAATTGGGGGGGGGAGTTTATAAAAATCTGATTTTTCAATATGGATTTATATTAGATGTCTTTCCTTGCTAGCTGAGATTGCAGCTTTTACAAGAGGACCACGACCAGCCCCCACAACCATCACAGTCAGAACCTGCAAATTATAGTTTTAAAGGGACTGTAGATGTGATTTCAACTGAGTCTCTATTATGGGGGCATGTCCGATTCGCAACGGTTACCTTAAAAAATAATTGCTTGTGATTTCAATCAAAACTAGCTTTACTGGTTAGTTTAGGCGGGTCTAAACTACTTGGTAAATCAAGACTGCTTATTTGTAATATCTCAAGCTTCGTAGTTCAGAATAAAAATTACATAATTTGTATTTTGGTAATTTGTAATATATCAAGCTTTGTAGTTTAGAATCAAAATTACATAATTTGTATTTTGGTAATTTGTAATATATCAAGCTTTGTAGTTTAGAATCAAAATTACATAATTTGTAGTTTGCTTGTTCTGAGATGAACTTAGGTTTGTTGTTACAGAATCTTGCATCTTTAAAAATGCTTCACAATTTTTTCTTCGTATGATCCCAGCGTAAAAACGAATTTGAGCCATACATAATATATTGTGCCGATTTCAATGCGCAGCGGAGAAATCAAAATTTCTTATGACGCCCCTAGTACTGTTGTGTACGGAGTGTTCGGTCTAAAACTGGTTTAGATAAGGTTGTACCGTGTACAGGTGTATTCGGTCTCAGTCAGGCTTCGACCGAAGGCAGGTGAACGAGTTCGTTAAATTTAAAAGGGGTATTGATTGATTGTTAGATTAGTGGTTGATTAATTGATTGATGGATGAGTTGTTTGTAAGGTGGAGAGTCTGACTAGAGTGGGGCCTACCCTACTCGCTGGGTCATCATCATCTTATGGTGGAGGAAGGTACAGGACAGGGGATATCTTTGGTAAGTCGTTAAGAAATTGATAAATTGTCCCCTTACCTTAGTTGCTTTCTCTTCCTCCGGTATCATATCTGTTATAGCAGCCTAAATTATATATGTCTTAATTGGCAATTATCTATATCTATATTTATAAAGTTGTAATCTCCGTTTGTCTGTTTGTTTGTTTGTTCATTCACAGCTCAGGAACCTCTTGACCGATTTGCCTCAAATTTTGATTGGGGACCTCAGGAGAACCACGGAAATGTTCTTATGTTTGGTTTTGAGATTCTAAGTTGAGTAGGTCGACTTTTATAGCGAAACCTTAGTTTCTCGGTAAAATCGTTCAAGTGCGGGTAAACAGCAGGAGTAACTATGAGAAACCTTGGCAGCGCTTGGATTTTCAAGTTAGTCAATATGTATAAAGTAGTAATCTCTGTTTGTCTGTTTGTTTGTCCGATCATAACTCAGGAACCTCTTGACCGTTTTGCCTCAAATTTAGAATGGGGAACTCAGTAGGCCCACGGTAATGTTTTAAGTTGAGTAGATTTTATCGGGAAAAAGAGTTAAAATCGTAATTTACAACAAAGCGCGGGTAATCGGTGGGACTAACTATGACCCCCCTGTCTAACGCTGGGTTCCCAAGCTAGAAGATATATAAATTAGTAGTCTCTGTTAGTCTATTTGAATGTCTGATCATAACTCACGAACCCATTGACGGGTTTACCTCAAACTTTGATTGAATTATCAAAAAAAACGACAATTGATTTTTATCATAATCTTATTGCCCCTCCCCCCTCCCCCCCCAAAAAATGAATGAAACAAGTTTTTTGAATAGCGAGAAGTAGTTGAACTAAGTAGGCGCAGTTCAACCACTTATCTTGTTCGCTGGATTAAGTTAGATAGAAGTAATCAAAGTTAACTAAGTTCAGCTACATCTCGCTATTCGTCAAATCTGGTCTCAGGTGAAATTTTCCTATTAAGAAAAGAGCTGCTTTAGAATTTTCTTAAACTAAATATTTATCAGGATTAGACTTAATAAACCAGTGCTTAGTATCTGGATCCGGATATTCCCCCTTATTTTGCTTCCCGTATCCGGATCTAAGGGGCGAAATATTAACTTACGCATGTTAAAAAAAAATAATCCAGATCCGCATAAAAATGAGATGACTTCTTAGCACTGAAACTTAATATCTTTATTTGTTTACACATGTGGTTTACCTGCATGGCCGCTAAATATTGGGAATACTTCACTGGGTCACGCTCAAATACTTCATAAGTACTGCTCTCTAATCAATAAATTATTTAAAGAATTATAAATATGGTTAAAAAGAATGGTTTCAAATCATTTAAAAATTAAAATTAAAATCAAAATCAATCCCATCCCATCCTATCCCATCTCATTCCATCCCATCTTATCCCATCTTATCCCATCTTATAAATATTCATCATCGGCTTGTAGACGGGTGAATACTATACATATACATCCTAGCTCTAATTTGAATTAAGAAACTAGTAAGTTTAGGATCAAAAGACTCTCTAGTTTTAAAAATAATCAAGAAGCCAGGGATTGTCCAGCAGCTTCCTAGTCTAGATGTTCGCCATCACGATCTCTACAAAACCAGGCTCAGACAAAGCTTTTAACGGTACCCTTATAAGTCGGACATTGCCATCTTAGCATGAAGGGGCACTTGAAATTACGCTAACAGTCCCTCTAAGTCTAACACAAGAATTCAGTAGTTAATAATTACCGAGGTTGTCCATGAGAGGCTGAAGAGGAATCTGAAGAAAGTCCTCGAATCCTCGAGCAAAGGAACACAGGGGGTCGTTCGTATCATTCTAGAATATTTCTCGATTAGTTTTAGCCTTCCTTCATACATTATTCACAAGAAAAGCGATAAAAAATCATTTAATTAATTCGTAGATTATTCAACTTTATCTATTACTTATTAATTTATTGGATAACTGCATATTTTAATTGATTAACTAGTTATATTTGAAACTACTATTCATAATTGATAATAATTGTGTATTTGATCTAAAAACTATATAAAAAATTGCCTTATTAGTTGATTGGTTGATTGATTGATAAATAATTAATTAATTGATAGTCTGATTGATTTATTGATTGACTGATTGATTAGTTTATTGATAAATTGAATATTTATTGCTTAGATCTTAAGCCATGAATTCCTTGATTGGTTCTCCCAGCCAGCGAAGAACTTCTATTTCTTCTGGAATAGTTTCAACCATCTCCAGGCAGAGGTTTATCTTAGAGCTCATGTTACCCAGCAACCGGAATCTATAATTAACAGAGGTTTTTATTGTTTATTTTTTTATGAAATTAGTCTTTTTCTTTTCTTCCTTACTCTTCCATCTTTTTTCCCAACTTAAAGAGACTATTAGCGTAAATTCAAGTGACCCTTCATGTTAATCTTGGAGTGCATTCACAACGGTACTCTTAAAAGCTTTCTTTCATCAAGTATGAACAAGATATCAATGTTTCATTTTTAAAACTGATTAATTTTAATTGTCTTTCTCTACAAAAAAAAACTTGCGCATTTAAAAAAAAGACAGTAACTTCCCTTTTATCTCTCTTATACTCCCCCCCTCCCCCGTTCGAATGTAAACTGACCTATTCCACCAACTCCATGAAGAAATTATCTCTCTGCCGGGCTCTAAGTCTTCATACTTGTTACAGTCAGCAGAAGAGATTGGAACCTAATAAATGAATTTTAAAAACGATAAATTAATTGAACACATTTCAAATAAAAAGTAATTATATAAATGATATCTCTAATCTGGTTTAATTTTTACTTTTCATAGTCTCCATTCACTCTTAAATGGATTGTCAACTTATTAAATTTTATTCTTGTAACTTTCTTAAACAAAAAGGGGCGAGTTTTAGGCTTTCTGTTTGATATAAATGTTTAAATGTTGCTGTTCTAGAATCTAGATTGTTGATGGAAGTCATGAAAATTACAGTCCCTTTAAAATGTTGATAAACGAACCTGTGCCCAGATCTGTATCCCCTGATCCCTACACACAGAATTGGACAGAATTCTGGCCAGATTTGGCTGGTGCTCACCAGTTAAACGAACCTATACATAATATATACACTCAATACAGTGGTTCTGCAAAAAAATATTGTTTAAAATAGTTTCCTAAAGAATAGATAAAAAAGACTAGATATTTCTAACGTTTACCATAACTGCCGGAAGTCCTAGATGACTGGCGTACTTGAGTTCCTCCGTCAACTTGGCCTCGCTGATTTTCCTGATGGAGGGGACAACGCTGTCCACGTTGATGGAGGTGTCCAACTTCCCAACTACGTAGCTAGACCAGTCACTACCAGCTAGCAGGATATCAGCTCTAGAATATAATCTGATATAGACCCAGACATTACCAGCTAGCAGGATATCAGCTCTAGAATATAATCTGATATAGACCCAGACATTACCAGCTAGCAGGATATCAGCTCTAGAATATTATCTGATATAGACCCAGACACTACCAGCTAGCAGGATATCAGCTCTAGAATATAATCTGATATAGACCCAGACACTACAGGCTAGCAGGCTATCAACTCTTAGAATATAATCTGAAATAGACCCAGACACTACAAGCTAGCAGGCTATAAGCTCTAGAATATAATCTGATATAGACCAGACACTACCAGCTAGCAGGCTATCAACTCTAGAATATAATCAGCTGATATAGACCCAGACACTACCACAACCAGCTATTATTTCCCAGTTGCATTCTCATCAATTCATCAAAATATGATTTTACAATAAATTAACAGTAAATAATATTTTAATTAACAAAAAATATGCCCTTAGATAACAAATAACAATAACATTGAGTCATTAATTAATTCATCAAATTCTGAAAATACCTTGTGAGTGGCGCATTTCTGTTGTACGCTGGTTTGTGAGGATCAAACTCCCGCGCATATCTATGTACAGAATTCAAATTACGTACAAAAGGAAATCCAAGATTTATAATGCGAGGGAAAAGTCAACTTAAATGGTTTAGATTTCTGAGGAAACTGCCCCCCGCCCTCAATCAAATAAATACTTAAAATCCTAAGTTTATTTTTCCCGCAAAACAACACAAATTTTGATGGAGACAAATATTTGAAATTTTGATCATTCATAAACCTTCCCTGGGGTCCCTAGATGTCCCACAAAAAATTTGGGCCCGATCGGTTCAGCCGTTTTGACGTTTATTGGATAAAAACAGACAGACAAACAGACAAGCCAAATTTATATATAGATGCAAAATTTTGACCCTTACAGAAAATGCATGCTTATCACGATTGTTATGGTCGCTTTTTAATCGTTTTTAACTATTTCAGAATACAAATATTGCAATGGTTAATAATAAAAAAATTGACATTTACGATTTACGTTATATTGGTGGGTAAGAGTAACTTTTTTCAAAGTAAATAATAAATATAAATCGTAAAAACTTTTGTCCAAACAACTCATTTTAACAGCGAAGGAAATGATAATAATAAAAATGGATGTCCCCCAATAGAGTACTGAAATACTACCTGGGGTGAACTATTGGGACACAGATGAAGTCGTAGTTAGAATGAGTCCCAGCCTAAATATAACAAATTCAGGGGGACAACTACAAGGAGGGGGAGAGGTGAGCCCCCGCCCCTTCTGGGGGTCATAATGGTATAGGTCTGTCAAAGTCAAGTAGCAACGATGTTCCAACAACCCTTTATATTAGTGGCGTAGCTGTAGGGGCATCATTCCCCCCCACCCCACCCCCCTACTATTTAAACACCACTGATCAAAGTTTTATGGAACTGCTGTCGTTACTCATCGTAACCTTTTCATTTCTAGAATTTTTTTTAGAAACTTACTTTAAACCATGAGGGGCAGCTGAGGAACCCCCCTCCCTTTCCAGAAATGCCTTATTTGCTCCCCAAATTGGGATTTCAGTGGTATACCAAAATAAATAAAATCTGTTCGCCCTGTGTCCGAATTTAATGAATTTAAACCACGTCTTAAATCCCCCAAAAACCGGTTTTAATTGATCGCCTGCTTAAATCTTGAAAAATTTAATACAAATTTAAGTGGAACAAACCATATTTCAGCCGGTGCTTAAATTTAAACCGCGGCTTAAATTCTTTAAATTCGGCCTAAGAAATCATAAATCTTTTAGTGATAACCATAGTGTTTAGATATAAAATGAGAGGGGTTTGCGGATTTACAATGAAGAATAAGGAACGCTTAGATATCCATTGTAAATTCAAGTTCAGAATATTCCCTTATAAATTCCAACCTTTGGCACCGCTTAAAAAAATACTTGCTTCAAGCAAATCCTTCCACGTCAAAATAATATAAACCCAAACCCTATCCCACTCACCTTACATCTAATCAAATCCTTATACGTCAAAATAATATAAACCCAAACCCTATCCCACTCACCTTACATCTAAGCAAATCCTTCCACGTCAAAATATAATAACGCAAACCCTATCTCACTCACCTTACATCTAATCAAATCCTTATACGTCAAAATAATATAAACGCAAACCCTATCTCACTCACCTTACATCTAATCCTTATACGTCAAAATAATATAAACGCAAACCCTATCTCACTCACCTTACATCTAATCAAATCCTTATACGTCAAAATAATATAAACGCAAACCCTATCTCACTCACCTTACATCTAATCAAATCCTTATACGTCAAAATAATTAATAATCTTTAATAGAAACTAGCAAAATCTTATGAAATATTCATAGATCCTAATCTTTTCTTTTACAATACCTACTCAGCGTTTTAAAATATAAATATGTTCACAGAGAAACATGCTGATTAAACTCTAGTGAAAGATAAAGCTTTCTCATAAATGACTTGCAGAATTTGAGTTTTTTTCCGGAGGATATTATTTGCTGTAAAGGGACTGGGAACTAGGTAGTCTGTAAGATGCAAGTTCCCGTGGTTAAGTAAATGTTACTTAACCACGGGAACCAATGATTAAGTAAAATCCCATTAGAGTAGTTGTAAAAAAAAAAAAGACAAACTGTAGAATTATGTTTGCTTACAGTGATGCAGGCATCTAGATCTGTAGGATTTGCAATTTCCAGACCACAGGAGGCTCGTTTACGGTTCACTGACATTTTCACCTGAAATTTGGACGAGGCCGTGTAGTTCTAACTTTCTGGTTTGAGGTGGGATCTTATAAATACAAGTTTAACTATATGCCATAGAAAAAAAACCTTTACATGAAATAAAATAATTCGACTCATTTTAAAGGTAAGGGGTTGATCCGTCAAAACTTGGCAGATTTGATCGATGAGAGATAAGCAAATTATCAGTCACCACGTTTAGATAGAATAAAAACATAAAAATAAAAGTTCTGAAAATGTTTGTAAAGCAAAATATAATAAGAAATGGATCATGATTGCTAGGGCTGGGCACGTTCCGACTTTTTTGAAATCGTTCCGTTCCTTTCTAGAACAAAGGCCTTCAGCTTAATAGTTCCGTTCTCGTTCCTCTTTTTTATCGTTCCGTTCTCGTTACGTTCCGTCCCGTTCCGTTCCGTTCTGAGTAGAAGAACGGTCTTCCCGTTCCGTTCCGTTCTTGGCGTTCTTAGTTGAAGAACGGTTGCATCCCTCTTGTTCTGTTCTTAATTAAGAACGTTTCCATCCCCCGTTCCGTTCTTAGTAACAATTACATCAAAGACAAAAGTTTTATAGAAAAGAGTTGGTTAAAAAGTAAAAAAGGGGAGGGGGGTCGGGTGATTAAATAAAAAAATCTTTAACTATTAGATGATTTAGAACACATTCCTGATTTAAAATGCGTTCCCAACTTAGAACAAGTTCTTGATAATAAGAACGCGTTAACGATTTTGACCGTTCTTTTCAAGCAATTCCCGTTCCGTTCCGTTCTTTTACTAATCGTTCCAATATTTTTATGAACGCGTTCTAAGCGTTCGTTTTTTTTCGGAACGATGGGATCGTTCTTGATCGTTCCGTTCGTTCTCGGCAAAGAACGATCGTTCCAACGTTAACGCGCCCAGCCCTAATGATTGCTATGTAGTTAATGTAATGAATAAAAATTATATAATATCAAAATTATAGAAAACTCAAAAAGACAATTTAAATTCTTAGAACCATGTGAAGACAGACAACCTAAGAACTAGAAATCCATTTTAAAAGCTCAAGAACATGCGAAATGATTATGTAACATGTACAATGTAAACGGCAATATTTAATAATCTTTCATGAAATACATTTGAAAACGAAGAAAGGGTTATTATTAAGCACTTAAACAATCATTCTATCTGAAAATATAAACCTTACATAATACACACTTTACACAAATCAGTTAATCATCAATATTCAATATAAATAAATTCAATAAAAGCTACAACATTCGATTTTACAAAAATCACACAGGGAAACCAAAAATATCACATAAGCATGCAAAATACACTATAGATAGTACTACAATTAGGGTTTTTAACTTTTTAGCAAAATCATTGTGTTCACTTAATGAATATGAAGATAATTTGGGAAAATTAAAATTTATTAAATTTCTTTTTTAATTAATATATCATAAATTATGCTAAACTTTACATTACAAGGGTAAAAAAAGGTGTCCTTTTCTATTTCGTTTTATTAGTGAAAGAATGCTGTTTTTGGAATTTGCAACTGAACTGTTTTCAAAAAAGTTGTGGGAACTCTTGTATTGTACAGTGAAACCCTTAATAACGAATACATCGAAAGAATTCATCAAATGTCGTATTCTTCACTTTCCGATAATGGAATGTTGCAGATATTTAGAACTCTTTGAAACTGTTCCCGCATATTCATGGCTATTTATTTATTTTCGCAAATACTGAAATATACGTAATGTAGTATAAAACTCATTGAAAAATTGTCAAGACGACATTTAATAAATTCTTCCGATGTATTCGTTATTAAGGGTTTCACTGTAGATCTTTTGTTACTCTGCATTTTTAAGTATTCTTACCCAGTCAGGGGTTGAAGGGAGCTATGATCACTGATCAGGAAAGGAATTGCTAAAATGAAGAAATGGAAAGGCATAGATAAGGAATGGATATCAAGATCAAGCTATCGGGATATCGAGATCAAGCTATCGGGATTATATTTCAGTTGCGACAACAGCAAATATTATAATCTTCAGAGCGACATTTACTCAGTCAAAAAGAGCGACCAAAGACGACGTTCATTCCAGTTTTCTGGTTCTTACTGTAAAGTAAATATTTGTTTAATTTAAGGATAGTAGAGTGCTAGACTGTTGGTAGCGCAAACATTTCTAAAAATACCCCAACATTAAATTATCAAAATAAGATTTTAGAGAGCTCCTTCTAACAGTGTCCAAAATATTAAGTACAATTTTAGCCAAGAAATCGTGGCTTATTTACAATTTCACAATTTCGGAGATTCTTTGGACATTTTGGATTTCCGGGATAGAGTTGTGTTATTACATTTTTTTAATCGATCATTTTTTTAGCTCCCAACTTCATCGGTCCTTTCTTCGCCGATCTTTTTGCTTCAATGGCTTTCTGCCTTTCTGCCTTCTTGTCCTCGTTTTTCTTTCTCTCATCTTCACGACGGATTTCTAAACATGACAATAGACATACTTTTTAAAGGTAAATTGTAGAATTTAAAGTGTTGTAAGAAGGTTGCAAATAGCCACGGATATTTGATATCAGAATTGCATCTTTCTTTTTGTGGCTTTGTAATCAAGTGCAGGTGAGGGGAATGATTTATTGAACAATTAAGGGGAAAAATTTAAAAATTAATGTTAACAGATTTTTTATCCTTCTTCATCCCTACTTAGTATTTACCCAAAAATTTATTTATTTTTCCCAAAGAATTGATTAATTTTTACCAAATTCAGTAAAAAAAAACCTATAGAAAAACCTAACTTTAGGGGANTTACCAGAAAATATAGATCATTGTAATCAGTTAACAACGCCTTTATGTTTTTGATTTACCTGAATTCGTATTGGGTACATAATCATTGGATAGACTACTTGAAATGTATAATCTCTTTATTTACATGAGAATGGATCTTGAGATCGACTAGCGTAATGTATAACCTCTTTATTTACCTGATAATGGATCATGAGATCGACTAGCGTAATGTATAATCCCTTAATTTACCTGAGAATGGATCATGAGATCGACTTGTGTAATGTTTAATCCCTTTACTTACCTGAGAATGGATCATGAGATCGACTAGTGTAATGTTTAATCCCTTTATTTACCTGACAATGGATCATGGGATCGACGAGTGTAATGTATAATCCCTTTATTTACCTGATAATGGATTATGGGATCGACGAGTGTAATGTATAATCCCTTTATTTACCTGAGAATGGATCATGGGATCGACTAGTGTAATGTATAATCTCTTTATTTACCTGAGAATGGATCATGAGATCGACTAGTGTAATGTATAATCCCTTTATTTACCTGAGAATGGATCATGGGATCGACTAGTGTAATGTTTAATCCATTAATTTACCTCAGAATGGATCACAGGATCGACAAGTTGTAATGTTTAATCCCCTTTATTCACATGAGAATGGATCATGGGATCGACAAGTTGTAATGTTTAATCCCCTTTATTTACCTAAGAATGGATAAAGGGATCGACTAGTTGTGATGTTTAATGCCTTTATTCACCTAAGAATGGATCAAGGGAACGACTTAGTTTAAGTATAATCCCTTTATTTACCTGTAAATGGATCATGGAATCGACTTGTGTGCTGTATAAGATCCCATTTAATTACCTGAGAATGGATCATGGGATCGACTGGTTGTATTAGTTTCAAAGTTTCCCCAATCACTGCTGAAATTATCCGTAGCAGCAGTCTTCTTGGCTCCAGCAACCTAGAGACAAACAAATTAATTTGCAAGTTACGGGACGTCAATGACCTACTCCCAAATTGATGTAAATAAACAACTTGCCAGTTAAATAATCATGAAATTGTCCTACTGATCAAAACTATAGCTTAACTTATGAAAGTTACTGACATAAAGCTTTGTAGTATGCATGTCAATTACATACAGAACTATCAAATGAATGTCAATGACCCCCATCCTACCACAGAATGAATGTCACCTTCCTAACCTACCTCCAGCCAAACCAAGAGAATGTCAATGACCAGGACGTCAATGGCATACTCCCAAATTAATGTAAATAAACAACCTGAACATTAACTCAATTATGTCATTGACCTACTGATCTAACCTCTAGCTTAACTAATGAAAGTCAATTACATAAGGCTTTGTCGTATGCATGTCAATGACCTTCCTCCAGCTTTTAACAAATGAATATCCATAACCTACGTCATACACCGGCTCAGCTTTATGAATGTCATTGCCCTACCTTTGTCGCTTAAGAATGAAAGTCACCTCCCTCCCATACATTAATGTCAATAACCTATCTTTATCTTAACAAAAAATAATGTCAATGACCTACCTTTAGCTTTACAAAAATAATGTCAATTACCTACCTTTAGCTAAAACAAAATAATGTCTATGACCTGACCTACCTCCAGTTAGAACAAAAGAATATCAATGACCTTCAGATAAACCAAGAATGGCAATGACCTCCCTTCAGCTAAACCAAAAGAATGTCAATGACCTACCATTAACTTTAAAAAAGAATGTGGATGACCTACCTCCAGTTCTCCCCAATCTCCGTCATCCTCCCATCCATCCTCTCCTCCTCCGTCCTTCTCATCAACTTCCCAACCTTTCCCAGCATCACCTTGTCAAAAAAGATAAGTTGCAATACAAAAAATGATTTTAGATGATTTGGGGGAAAACAACAGAAATAAGATTTCAAAATACAACTTTTTATCATTCTTTTTGATAATTTTGACCCAAAATTTCATAGATTTCCTCCTGAAAACCATTTATTTTCCCCTATTCAGCGAATAAAATTTTTTTAAAAAACCAAAAGAAGAATTTCAAGGGAGGGGGGGGGGCGGAAGAAAAATGATTTTTCAAGAAAATCTACACCCCTGATGGATGCAGATCAAGATCCTGGTGAAATAAATGAATCCGGGTCCTAACCACTTCTATACCTTTATCTGTATCATTCCATTCGTCAATATTCCATCCCTCCTCTTGTTTTCCAGAACTTTCTGTACTTACTGTCTTTCGATCTGAACCTAAAATAAAATATAGAATACACAATCACAAAGCACAAAAGTAAATGATCCTTTATTGATGAATTTTAACGGGTAAGAAATGAGGATTTTTTAAATTAAGAATCTGTAAGAAAACTGCTTGTATTGCATAGATTCAATTTCCGCCCTGAACTCGATTCCCCCCAGTGATTTTTGAAATGGTTTACCTGTGGTGACCTTAGCTGGTGTAAGAACTGGGGCTTCAGGCTGAGGTGTTCCTTCCTTACTCCCACCGCCACTACTGCCGCCAGGACCGGAAGCAGCGCCAGGATTCGGTGCAATGCTAGATTTATCATTTAAATTATTAACAATGTTTTGTATTTCTTTCTTGAATAATGCTCCAGGGGTTATTAAGAATTGGGGTGATTTTTGATGATTTGGGGGGGGGGGGTCAAAAATGGGACATCGAAGGACAAGTTTTTTCGTTCTTTTTTAAACTTTTAACCCCAAAATTAGTAAAAATTTGGCGCGCTCCGCAAACATAAATAACTTATGGGGAAAAATTATTTTCAAAGGGGGTGAGTGGAATGAGTTTTTGAGAAATTACACAACCCTGGAATGTTCTAGAAGTCAAGTAGTCCAAATCATAAATATCAGTGTTAGTTTCTCAGGTCAAATTCTGGTAAGGTCGGATTTGGGCTTAATACTGGCGTAAATCATGAGTTTTACCTGGATTTGTAGAATTTGGCTGTAACTGCCCCAACCGCCCAGTTGGCCCAGCCGGCTGCTGCAGCTGCAACAGGACTAGTCGACCCAACCTGGACATTAGGAGAGTAAGTTCATAATTCAAAAAAGTCTGGCAGCAATGGTCGGTTTTTAAATGCTAGATTTATGTTGCCGGTTTTCAAATTTGGGTTACAGAGAACAAACTGGTTACAAAAGTTTGTTTGTATTAGTCAGGTTATAATTGTCAGTTTTCAACGCTCAGAAGTTTTCACAAGTTGGGTACAGAATCCGATTTAAAAACTTTTGATTGCCAATATTCTGCAAGTGTAACGCTGAAATATTTCTTATAAAAAAATCTATCTTCACCTCTTTCTCCATTTCTTCCTTCAGAGACGGATCTTCGCTCACCTTAAAGACCAAAATTGTCATTTTACAAATAATGAAATCAAAGTTTTGAAAGAAACTAACTGTACAGGTAACTGTAAGTGACCCTTCATTAGTTGTTTTCCTTCTTATTCTCTATTACATGAATCCGCATGTCCCTTTAACAGAGAACCCACAATTGAAAATAATTAATTTTAAGCTAAGGATATCTAAATCATATTTAATTAGGTAAATGGTTTCAGCCTGATGTTTTGAATCAGACAAGCCATATAATATATGGAGGGTCTCTGGAAATAACGTTCACAGTCCCTTTAAGAAATAAAAATAATTTATAAAAAGTTTTTGATCAACCTTCTCTAGTTTGTTGATGAACCCTCTGAGGACCTTGAACCCCTGATCCCGTACACTCTTCTCCGGGTCTATCACAGAACTGCTGATCAGGGGGAGAACACGTCCTCCAGTCTCCTGATTAAGCAATCAATCTATCAATCAATTAATTAACAAATAATAAATCATTCCATCAATCTTAATAATCTGAATGCAATAAAAAAACAGTATTATCTTTTGAAATGCTACGTAGTCAATTAATCAATCATTCAATCAATCAATCAATGCTTAAATAATGGACCCCACCTGTACAGTATAATACTATTGTGTGACAATTGCATTAATGGTCACTATCCTTCAATCAATCAATCAATCAATCAATCAATCAATCAATCAATCAATCCAAGATTGAATGCTATACCTCACCTGTACAGTATAATGCTGTTGTGTGGCTGTAATTACATTAATGGTCCTTATTCTTGACTTAATAAACAAATCAATAAAAGCTTAAATACTAGACCTCACCTGTACAGTATAATACTGTTGTGTGGCCGCTATTGCATTAATGGTCCTTATCCTTGACTTAATAAATCAATTAATCAATGCTTAAATACTAGACTTCACCTGTACAGTATAATACTGTTGTGTGGCCGCTATTGCATTAATCGCCGCTATCCTAGAGGGAGGAAAGGGATCCTTTAAACTTCTACTAAAGCAGGCCAGGAGAACCTGCTGACGTGTCTTAGGATGAAGATATCTAGAATATAAATCAAATTAAAGGTAATTAAACGTAATTATTAAATCAAAAGGACTGTCGACGTAATTTCACGTTACAGACCAGATTCATAACCGTACCCTTTATATTTCAAGTTACAGACCAGATTCATAACCGTACCCTTCATATTTCAAGTTACAGACCAGATTCATAACCGTACCCTTTATATTTCAAGTTACAGACCAGATTCATAACCGTACCCTTCATATTTCAAGTTACAGACCAGATTCATAACCGTACCCTTTATATCTTTAGCAGAGTAACAATGAGGAAGATATGGTCGTTTTTCTGTCCATTTTCTTTCTTGACTGCTGTATGAATTATTTTGAACAAAACCCCGAAGATTAAAGAAAAGTAGGAAATCTCCATGAACAATTTATAAATCATATTTAACAAAACATTTCTGGTTTTTAAGCAAATTTAACTTTTTTTAAGAATGTTGTAGTAATGGTACGTTTGAACAATCTATAAAAACTATATTTTGCTTAATTTAAATGTGAATATTTACCTTGCAATTTTGCCCAGACAAACTACAGTGTTGGTTCTAATTCCGCCCTGTTCATCTCTAAACAAAATATCAAACTTAAAAATTTCATCAATTCTTCAAAAAATAAAGAATGAAGAAAAAAAATAAATAAAAACGAGAGCTATGCCTATATAAATGAACGAAACCAAGTTTTGAGGGGTTTGTTATCCACCTTTGAGAACAATATGATTTTAATTTTATTTCGTACATTTAAATTAAAGTTTAGTTTCCAGTCAAATTAGTAAATAATTAGAACACTAGTTGTTGTCTGATCTTTACTGGATGCGACAATCTTTTTGAACCCAAATACTTGGATGAATTGTTTAAATGTTTAAACGGATTTTTTATTTTCCCATTACCCCAACCCTTGTCTGAATACCATGTATTTTACCGCCTATGATTCCCCTAAGCCTTGGCTGAATACAATGTATTTTACCGCCTATGATTCCATACAATGTATTTTACCGCCTATGATTCCCCTAAGCCTTGGCTGAATACAATGTATTTTACCGCCTATGATTCCACCAACCCCTGGCTAAATACAATGTATTTTACCGCCTATGATTCCACTAAGCTTTGGCTGAATACAATATATTTACCGCCTATGATTACACTAACCCTTTGCTGAATACAATGTATTTTACCGCCTATGATTCCACCAACCCTTGGCTGAATACAATGTATTTTACCGCCTATGATTCCACCAACCCTTGGCTGAATACAATGTATTTTACCGCCTATGATTCAACTAACCCTTTGCTGAATACAATGTATTTTACCGCCTATGATTCCTCCAACAGAGGGAAGTTATGTAACTTAACGTCCCTTTGGACAGTTATGTAAAATAAACCAACGCTCTGTGTAAAGTTTTCGTGAAAAAATTCTAGCATTGTTTTTACAAACTTCGATCAAATTGTGTTCAAACTAATTTGAATCGATTCACGAAAAGTATTTTTCCAAATGACAGTTTCCCAACTTCCCAAGTGACAAATTCCGAAAGGCTATATTCCTAAATGCCACATAAGTTAAGTTTCCCGAAGTTCATGTATAAAAAAGGTTTGGACATTCTCAGGAGCATGCACACTGCGCAAAGGCCGAGAACATTTTAAAAAGTGACTTAAAGGGACTGTAAGCATAATTTCAATTGACTCTTCATGCAACGATGGGAATGTCAGATTCCCATCGGTACCCTTAAAAGCTTTATCTGATAAGTATAAATTATATATCAATGTTTATAATTTAAAAACTAATCATTTTTTATCTGATAAGTATAAATTATATATCAATGTTTATAATTTAAAAACTAATCATTTTTAATTGTGGCTTTTCTACATGATTGACATGCGCATTTCTGCTGTAGAAAGTTATCAGACATTAATGATTTGATAAAAGGTTTCATGGGTACTTTTGTTAATCGGGTATTTTCATCTTTGCAAGAAGGGTCACTTTAAATAACGCTTACAGTCCCTTTATGAAATTGTAGAATCGGGAAATAATTAACGTTTACCTCACAAGTCTAGTGAAGTGCTTCAAGATTACTATTTCATCTAGGTTGCTGTAATTCAGCTTGGGAGCTAAATGGATCTGAACAAAAGAAAACATTGTGACAAAAAACTCTTCAATTGAAGGTTTAAAAATCTATAACTCCCTATAATAAGAATTTTACAAATAAAACACGTGCCGAGAAAATCTGGTTTTCAAATAAAAACAACATTTCTTGATTGTAAGTTATTTTTTCAAAATCTACGAAATTAAGATGAACAACTTATCAATAATGTTACCATTGCTATCACAGTTTTCTCTCGGATAAGAGGTTCAGAATCCAGAAATCCGGATTCTATTTTAGGGAACACCTACAAAACAAAACTCTAAAATAATTACCATGGTTTTTCTTTTTTGACTCTTCATGCAACGATGGGAATGTCAGATTCCCATCGGTACCCTTAAAAGCTTTATCTGATAAGTATAAATTATATATCAATGTTTATAATTATATAGTTTTTAATTGAAAAATTGAACTGATTAATTTGATTTCTGGATTTTTTTATATCGAGGGGAGGAAGGCAAGCCACAACAATGTCTCGTCCAAGCCACATTCACCTCATTTTCTCCTCCGAGCCACTTCGAAATCCTCATCCTTTCCATTTTTTTCTTCTTTGAGGATAAACAAATTTTTAACATTTCCCTCGTTAGAACATAAATAAAATATTGAATTTTTGCAAATCAAAACAATAATGAAAATTTGGCTCGCATGCGAAAATGTTGAGGCTGTCCTTCCTCCCCTCGGATATCCCTGACATCAGAGTAGTTTATATCAGGATAACGGGGTATTTTGATTAAATAATCATTTGCAAAATTTAGGGAAATAACAGAAAGTTTCAAAAAGGAAGAAAAAACTTGCCCCAATTGACATCATATTTTTTATATTTTCCCCAGATCTTCAAAAATCTGCTTTAAAGATATTATACCTGGTCATTCACTATCTTATTATTTAAATGCTCTACAAAAGTTTCTATCTGACTAAGTAGTTTAAACCTAACAACATTTTGTAACAATTTCAGGCTTTTATTTTGTTTTCAAATGATTACCGACAAAATAAGTTTAATATTATATTATGCGTAAGAATAAAGTGTAATAATCAAAATTATTGTTATGATATTAAAAGAAAAACCGTGGAATAATTTTAATTACCAAATTACGTAATTTGCATAGTCTTGGTTTATTTATGCTAAATTGATGAAAAATCTTTCGGAAAAATTAGGATTTTTTCTTACCCTTATTAATCTTTGTAATTTAGTAAATTATAATTGATTTTTTTTGACAAAAGATTTATTTTTGAAGAGTTACAATCCTTGCATTTCTGTCATTAGAAGAGAAGAGTTTTACAAGACATGGGACTACTCTTTCCTGATATTCCTAAACAATTTACAATTATAATTCAAGATCTAAAAACACGTTAAAAGATTTTTTGACATTACCCATAGTCTAGAATTTTGATGGAAACATCTGATATCAAGAACGTATATTGAATACAGAGCCAAGAATAAATGTATTCAAGAATATATCCTGAATACAGAACAAAGAATATATGTTAAATACAGAACCAAGAATAGTTATGTATTCAAGAATATATGTTGAATACAGGACCAAGAATAAATAACCTGTGTATTTAACGATTTCCCAATCTTGAAAACAGGACCAAGAATAAATAACCTGTGTATTTAATGATTTCCCAATCTTGAAAACAGGACCAAGAATAAATAACCTGTGTATTTAATGATTTCCCAATCTTGAAAACAGGACCAAGAATGGCAGATCCAGCATTACTGAACTCAAATGCATTTATCAACTGTGGTAGGATCTTTCCCCTGTATAGTTTAGATCATAAATATCATTACAGAAATACCAAAAAAATGAAAGTTTAATTTGGAAGGAAAATTAAAAGATAGTGACTGTTATTTAAAAAAAACATATTTTAAATAAAAAAGATATGCATTCATACAATGTCTTCCACTTTTTTCATCTGAAGAACCCTGAAAGCGATTCATTCATTCAGATTTCTAAAATGTTTTACTGGAGAAGTATCTAAACCAGCATCGTCCAGTTCAACTAACTCTTTTTCTTCAATTCATAAAATTCCACTCCAGCTTACAGATGTAAAAAGCTGACAAAGAAACAATTTTATCAAATTACCCAAGAATGAATTCGAGAACCAAAACGAGGGTTTCATGCTCATTTAGAGATAATGTGAAGATTTGAAAAATTTAAAGGGAAACCAACATGGAACCGGCCCCAAGGGCCCTGACCGGTTCAGGGCTTATTTATCTACGTTAAAAAGAAATTAATCCTTAGCAATACATGAAATCTAAATTATAGCCTAACAATCTCTTTTCGAATAAAAATAGTTATTTTCTTTTTTAAGAAAAATTGATAGGAGAAAATACGATTAGTATGAAGATTTCATGATCAAATTCCTGGCAACAATATCAGGACAACTATCCAATTGAGCAGCTAGAGAGGAGAAAAATCTATTCTTATCTGCATCTTCCTAAAACAGAAAATTTTTATCTATTTTTAATCTTCCTGACAGAAACAATCTCAAGAACTGACGAGAGTCAACCCAGGCCGAAATATGTTTTCAATAACATCTACTTTTTTTACTCTACAGAGGTTTGGTCCATCACCATCACCGAATTTTAGAAAAATTTGATTACGGGCTTTATCTTCGCTGCGTAAAATCCCCAAGTCATGTTAATGTAGATTAGAAGCCACAATTGTAAATTATCAATTTTTAGATGAAAAAAGAGGAAAATTTATCATTTTTGCTAAAAAGAAGTTTTCGACTTGAAAAACAACATTAAAATGCTAAATCAATTTTATTACTAAATTTTAACATTATTACCTTGAACTGTATTTCCTCCAAGAAGACAAGAACATCGATTAACTCATTTTTGAAATAACCAGGAGACCTTTAAACATAAATAAAATAATGAAAAGGAAATATATTTCATAACTAGCTGATGTGCCCTTGGAATTGTAAAAACATTTTTTTTAAATCGAATTTTCAAAAAATCTATTTTTGAGAAGAAAAAAATCAAAAAATGTCAGTCAATGTAATTTTAATAACATTTTTTTTAATTGAATTTAGAAACAAAAAAAATTATTTTGAGAAGATAAAAATCTAAAATGTTAGTCAATTTGGTCCAGCCGTTTGGCCAGCTATAGCTATCATATATTAAAATAAATATATATATATATATATAATATGAGCCAAGAGCTTTATTATATAGATTATGATTTCAGGGCAAGCATTAACATGAAATTTCACTAATCCCCCCCACCCCATATATGTCTTCAAAGATCATCACATTAAGCACACAGTGGGATTTTTTTTGCTGAACAAAGGAAAATATATACTTTTTGGGCAGTTGCTTACCACCCTAAGAAGAGTACGGACCTCTCTCATAGCTGTCCCAGCTTTACAGTTTGGGGGAGCGCTGCGCTTAGTTGCACACAGGGGAGTAAGGAATGTAATATAAAATAAAACAAGACTCCATCTTCAGCCAGGTGCATCTGATTCCTGTTGAGCTGAAAGAAGAAGTTTAACCCCTGAAGGGTATACAAGCCATGCACAACGATAACAGTTTTTTACTCTACCAGCTATGAGGACTGCACTGCTGGAGAAGATTCCTCTCAATGGAGCTTTAAGGCTTACAACTCACCATTTTTCATAAGGGGTGCAGCTATGGGTTTTCCTTAAAATTTCCCTTAGTCGGAAAGACTATAACACAAAGGACAACAGGGAGCAATCCCTTATACCTTTCCTCCAACAAACTTCCTTATTTCTCTCCTACCTGCTCCACAAGAACATGAGTTAACAATTCAATAAAGAGTTCCGAAAAAAGCAAGACCCTCTCAGCTAGTTCAATTAAATACAAAAATTCAGAAAAAAAGAAATATCATCTAAAAAATAGTTCTTTCTTGTAAAGTGGCAAACAACAAGTATATTCAAAAATATGTTTTTTTTCTAAATTAGCCGAAATTTGATTGAAAGATGTACGAACAAGAAGAAAATGAAGAACAAGAAATTTATAAATCTCAAAATATTTTCATCTGATATCATATAAATAATTAAAAATATTGTAAAACTTAATTAAAATAAATTATTAAAGTTAAAAAACATGTTTTTGAATTACTTTAAAAATCTATGAGAAAAATTATTACANCCCCCCAGTTGGAGAACCCGGACCCAGATGTATATTGTATAATTATATACACAGATTTGATATTATATTGAAGAGAGTAAGTAATCTTCTGAACTAAGGAAGAATAGTTGTTAATGTCAATACTATCTTAAATAAAAAAATGGGATGAATGGTGGTATGAATTTTCAAAACATACATATTCATTTAGTATTATCAAAAGAGGACCTTTTCATCTTCTCTAACAGATCCTTAGGGTTTGGTCGCTTTTTAGGATTTGCTCCAACACATTCCTAAATAAAGGCACGTTATATACATAAATACATAGATATATTCATAACAATAAGGGTAGATCTAAAAAGGGAACCCGACATAAAACCTGCAGACCACCTATGGCGCGGATGAACATTCAGCATAGGGTCCAGAATTGACGATAACAAAATGCAGCTTGTAATAATAAAAAAAAAACAGATGAATAAATTCAAATTCAATAAATAAAAGCTTGTCAAACCTTAAGTAAAAGTTGAACGATCTTACCTTGTATGCTGGACAAAGATCTTTAGGAATATCTCCTAGAGTTCCCAAATTATCCATGGACCGCAGGGGACCATTGAAAACCTCCCAAATCAGGCAACCTGAGTATTACAATATGTTCGTTTGGTCGATCAATCAATCAACCAATCAATCAATAAATCAATTCGCGGATTTATCACTTAATAATCCAGTCATCAATTCAATCACCGAATTATCAATTAATCAAAGTATTACCTAACCTAAAAGAAATCATCAACCAATCTACCAAGCAAAAAAATAACATGATAAGTCAATAAATTAGTCATTTAATCAGCAAGTCTGTCGGCCAATCAATTAACCTGTCAATCAACCGATCAGTCTACCTGTCAATCAACCGATCAGTCAACCAATCAATTAACCTTTCAGTAAACCAAGCAGTCAACCAAGCAATCAACCAAGCAATTGACCAAGCAATCAGCCAAGCAATCAGCCAAGCAATCAACCAAGCAATCAACCAAGCAGTCAACCAAGCAATCAACCAAGTAATCAACCAAGCAATCAACCAAGCAATCAACCAAGCTATCAACCAGTAAATAGATCAACTTTGACAACTAATAATTTCTATACTTCATTCATTCAACCAAGAAATCAACAAACTAAGAAACCCACCTGTCAACCAACCAACAAACCCACCTGCCAACCAACCAACAAACCCACCTGCCAACCAACCAACAAACCCACCTGCCAACCAACCAACCAACCATTCAATCAACCAACGCGCAGTTTACCTAGTCCCCATGTATCTGCTGACCAAGGAGTAGAGAGCTGGCGTTTTGACGGATCTTTCTTCTCCGGAGGATCAAGAGGTATTACCTTTATTGGAGAATCCTGATCCACTGAACTAACATATTCTAAACCAGATATCTTCCAATCTCCGCCATTGTTTACAAACACTGTACGGCACACACATCAATTCAAATTATTAAATTGAATGACAAGTAAATGACTAAGAAAGATAAATATATAATGTAATATACGAAATTTTGCAGCTTTTTTACATCGAAAAAGGAGATATTTGACAGAATAAATAAAATCACCAAAAGGATGAATGAAAAAATGAACTTGTAAGAAAAGGATGAAAGGAAGAATGTATGAATGAAAGGATGAAAATAAGGATGAAAATTATCAATGAATAGGTGGGTGAAAGGAAGGCTAGGATAGATGAATAAAATAGAATGAAATGAAAGTATAAATGAATGATGTCCCTGAGGAAGAATGAATATTGTTGTGCTTCAGTTTAGCATCATTAATCATAAAAGATAAACCTCTCGTCACCTAGATATTAGTTTAAATTAATTTAAAAAACATTAAACACGACATTTGTATTATTATTATCACCAATCAATCAACATATGTACATATGTGAATATATTCACATAATTAGTTGATTTCCAAGCTATATCAAAGACATAAGTTTGCTAAAATGCATGTCTTACAACCCCACAGTTCCACTCTAATATACCTGAAATAGTCCCCAGGCGATATAAAAATTACGTTTAGGTCCCCGGTCCTCTAGACTCTCCAGGCTCTCAATTAGAGGTACAACAGGCTCAGTAGCTAACAGTACAACCTAGATATATATTTAATAAAATATCATCTTTGTTTCAATCATTGCTTAGGATCTTGGTCAAGGACATTTTTTCAGAATTTTCAGATTTTTTTTAACCAAAGATAAATTTTTTGATTTTTCTTACTCTTTTTTGGCTTACTTTTATGCTTCTTGAGGAACCATTTAAAGATAAGGAAGTTTATAATAATCGCGAATAAAACCATTACCGAACATACCTAACATCTTTAGGGGAAAAAAAGAAAATAAACTTTAAGGAGGGATATGTGGGATTATACCCCTGAAATACGTGAACAACCCTAGAAAAAAATCCCATTAAACATCACCTTATCAGATTCTACGCTAGCTATGAATGTCAGGATACAAGGATGCTTCAAGGTTTTTAAACGTTTAACTGCACTCCTAGTTATATAAAAAAAAATAATTAATATAAAAAATTATAAGTATTTATGAAACTTTTAAACCAAAAACCCATAATTTAAATGTGACAAGTTGTTTCCAGCCAATAAGCTTGTATGAGTAGCTAAAGTTAATAGAGACCCAAAAGATTCTAGTACAGTAGATTGCGACGTAGAATTTGTACACTCTCAGAACAGCTGTATTCTGACGTCACAAGTGTCATCTTTTTGTGTTTTTGTGTCCGACACAATTATTAATAATAGTGATAATTTTAGAATAAAGTGCTTTTCTTACAGTGAAATAAGTGCAATTTTATGCGTTCTTTATTTTCTAATTTTACACTTTTTTATTTCATCTTGGAAAACATGTCAACTAATGTGTAAAAAAAAATTTTTTCCTTGTTGTATTTGACACTTGTGACGTTTTGTATAATTGGTTCATTTCTCTGTTGCCACCAATTGTACTTGATAATCTATTTGAGTTGACAGTATTTGTGTGGCACCTTTTAAAGTCTAAAGAACCGTAAAATTCGAGAAAATCGATATATCGATATATTTTATCATATATGTGAAGGTTTTCCTTAACTCTCGTCCTTCATGAATAACATCAATACCTTTTGATGCACTTTTTGTTCGATAATTTTACCACTTTATTCCATTAATTATATTCATAAAAGTTATTTTTGATGAATATTGATTCGGGAAAAAGACCGTTTTTTANTTAGAGGTCATTAGAGGTCATTAAAATTCAATTTGATTTTATTTTAGGAATTTCGATCACTAATTAGGCGTGCACCCAAAAAATTGGAAGATTTGAACCAAAAATGAAGGCAGGCCCCCCCCCCCCTACATCAAATGTGCCAACTCCACCATCCCCTTTCTTTGTATTTGATATTTGTGACGTCGCGTATAATTGGTCCATTTCTCTGTTGCCACCTATTGTACTTGATAATCTATTTGATAGAGACCAGTTTAATGGGGGGAATTGAAAATTTGGATTTGGAAAGTTTTTTACCCCTTTTCTAACAATTTTTATAGTTTGTTCTCCTCTTGTCATTAATTTTCAGAGATAAAATCATGAAAAAATAAATAGCATAGTAGAGGGTGTAATAATTATAATGGGGGGGGGGGGGTGTTCTGATGATCAGTATGTCATTCATAAGGTGTTAGGTATTTTTCCAAGGGCGACTTCCCAAATGTGCAATTTCCTAAGCGGCAACTTCCCATAAGTAAGGCATTGAGGCGCCGCAAACTGCAATATGGGGGGAGGGAGCGGTGCGACTAGAACAGGCTAGGGGGCCGAGCACTGCGGCTAGAAGGGGCCGAGCGCTGTGTCTTTTATAGGCTTGGAAAGTGGCCGCTTGGGAAGTCGCGCATTTGGGAAGTTGCCACTTGTGAAAATACCCTTGGAGAGTTGCCGCTTGGGAAAATACCCTTGGGAAGTTGCCACTTGTGAAAATACCCTTGGAGAGTTGCCGCTTGGGAAAATACCCAACATCATTTATACATCCTCGATATATATATTTACCTGGCGATATCCAACTGAACGTCACTAGCTCCATCCTTGCTATCACAGGAGAATACAGAAACTGATTCACCAGTAGATCTAAATATTTGGTTCAAGGGACGTAATTTCAAGTTGACCCTCCATGTAAAGATGGCAACCCCCGACTTACAACGGTCCTTGAAACCAGTGCTTAGGATCCGGATCCGTTGGATCCGCAAGATGTTGGCTTCCTGGATCCGGATCAGGATCCGCAAAAATATGCAAATCCACTGATCCGGATCCAAGGGGTAAAATATCAACCAAAAACTGCAAAAAAACCTTTTATACTTCTAAAGCCAAAATCTGAACTTTTGAAAAAAAAAAGAGAGATTATAAGAATTTCCTTATTTCTGAATGATTCATCAAGTTTTAGGATAAAAATGTGCCAAAAAAATAAAACAAAAAATTTGAATTTTTTTTCAGTAAATCTCATAGAAATGACCTGGATCCGAATCCGGATTTGGATCCCGATCCATTTTTTCCAGTGCTATTAAACTATTTAAATAAACAAAAACTTTATTATGTAATTCATACTTGGTCAGAAAAATCTTTCAATGGTACAAATGTGAATCGGGCATTGCCATCTTTGAACAGAGGGGCACTTAAAATCACGTTTAAAGTTTCTTAAAGCTTTTGACAGGGAAAGTTTATTTTTAATTTGGAAAAAAAGGATCAATTAGATGTTTCTGTTAAAAATAATAGTCGATATTTAGCATAAATAGTGAAGTGTTTTTTGTACTTACTTGTGTTTCCCATTGTGAAGCTGCCAAACTGTTTTATTAGCAAGCTGAACCTAGATTAAACAATTGTATTAAATTTGCATAGAAATTAAACTTTTTTGACTTAATTAAATTTTGTAAAGAAAATTACCAAAATTATTGATTCTAAGAAAAATTGCAATTTTACCTGGCCAACTTGCTCTTGTATTTCATAAGGAAACTCCTTACTAGGATCCTTACTAAACAGGCCCCACATTTGTTCAGTGGCTTAAATTCTGAAATTTAAATTCTTACGGGTAATTTCCGGGTCTGTCCTAGTGAACGATTTTTGNATGAAGGCAGGGCCCCCCCCCCTACATCAAATGTGCCAACTCCACCATCCCCTTTTGTATGCATGGATATAATTGATCATGTGGCCGCAGCTCCCGGCCCCCTAGTCTGTCCTAGCCGCGGCGCTCAGTTCCGTAGCCAGTCCTAGCCGCAGCGCTCGGCCCCTACCCTGTCCTAGCCGCAGCGCTTGGTCCAAAAATTGTCTTAGCCTATTAAATCCTAACTAAGTGGTAATGTACAAATTTAATAGGCAGGGGGGAGTCCAAAAATCGTATACTAGGACAGACCCAATAATTCTTATTTATTTACCTTAGCCGACGGCTAATTTTATTTACTTCCAATTTATCAAAATACTTACAGATAAGTAATCGAGGATAAATTCTCTTTCTCCCTATTTGAAAACTTTTAAAGATTGCCTGCGTAACACTTTTTGCCTTTAATATTTTAGAGAAACACACTTGTAGTTGTAAATATTTCGATTGCGCGGTTTGAGCGCAAAATTTAAGAAATATCATTAACAAAGACGACACGTCAACACCAAGGTTCTGTATCAATGGGACTAATGACGTTTTGTGGATCATATGGACAATGGACAAATCTTCAAAAAGAAAAAATTCCCTTCCTCCATTCTTAATCATTAATCTTCCCTCTTTAGATGTTAAATCTCATCCCTTTCTTTATTTTATTCCCTTCCCGTCAACTTCATTCCTTAACCAAAATTGACCAAAATTCCCTTCCTAGCTCTTCTTACCTTCTATTCCATTCATTTCTTTCTGTCCAATTTACTTCCCAGCTTGAGCTCCCTATTATGTTTTCTCTCTGTACTCCCAATCTCCGGAACCCCCGCATCCCCTTTCCCTCCTCCCTTCCTTTCTTTTTTTTACCCTTCTTGTGTATATAAAATAAATGTTGTCTGGTTGTCTACTACTATTAGTTCCATCTCGTACTATAGTTTAACACGGTTGTCTAGTGTCTACTATTCCCCCCTCTCTACCATTATACTTATGACATACAACACACAGCCTGCCTACAGCTATACACCTTGCAAAAACCCTAACAAGATACAAATGTAAGGAGTTCCAACAAACATGCGACTATAAAGTGATTTAAAATTTTCTTTACTTGTAGCCAGTGAGAACCAGAAAACACTGAAATATGAAGACGACTTTTAGACTCAAGAATTATGAGTTTAGATGGTCCAATGAGCATGAATCAGAGTAATTTTGCTGTTGAAACAGACCCATTTTACTTAATTAGAGATTTAGTAAGTTTTTATCAAAACTATTGGCTTTGTAACAAAATAATGGCATCTTCATATTCAATTGTTTTCTGGTTCTCACTGTATATATATGATATGAAAAATTCAAATTAAAAAAAAACGTTATCATACAAAAGTAATGCAGGCCTCGAGCTCAAATTTTCTCATGCATATATCTTTGCAACCTGATGGTGTAAACCTTTGAAGTTTCATTTTAGATTATTTGTTCTGGCAGAATTCAGTGTTTGGCATATCTAAGGTCTACGACACTGGGTTTCAAAGATTAACGAAGAAAAAAAAATCAGATGTTGTGGTACTGAATTAGGAATAAATTTAAAATATCTCTGTTAATTACTGCAGTCTTCAAGTTTGATGCAACTTTTACAGCAAAGTTGCCGAAAAATGTCTCTAATTTGATAATTTGCAACTAAGTTTTGTATCTCATTCTGATTTTGTTTTACAGAGTTACGTAGACGTATATCAGTTGCAACAAATCTAAGTAATAAAAGGAAGAATAAAAAACAAAACTGTAGATTATATAAATATTAACTATACTTTACAAATTAAAACTATAAAATAATTTATTCAGAATAATTTTTATAAATAAAAATAATCAACCATTGAATTTACATAAAATCTACAAACAATCCATAAATTATCAAGATTCATCAAGATTTTCATGAATCAGCTGATGTCATGAATCAGCTGATGTCAGAAATCAGGTAGGTTGTTCATGAATCAGCCGATGTTCATGAATCAGCTATAATTGTTCATGAATCAGCTGATGTTCATGAATCAGCCGATGTTCATGAATCAGCTAATGTTTATGATTAAGCTGATGTACAATAATCAGCTCATGTACAATAATTAGCTGATGTACAATAATCACCTGATATTCAAGATTTAGCTGATTTTCATGAATCAGCTCATATTAATGTTACAGCTGATGTTTATTAATCAGTTGGTGTTTTTAACTCAAGTGATCTTTATGAATCAGATGATGTACAATAATCCCCTGAAACCTGAAAACCTAAAAATACTAAAGCATCATAGGCATACGCATTTTTAGGTATATTTACGTAAAAATTTGTATGCTCAACTTTTTGGTAACGAACTCGTGTATATTTATGTATTTTTACGTATTTATCATACCAGCATTTTTTAAGTGCTTAGGTTTTCTGAAACGTATTTTACGAATAATCGCGTATAGTTTTTAGGTGTTTATTTCACGTATTTTTACGCGTTTTTCGTTTTCTTCTTTACTTAAAAATTGTATCTTTTTAGAGTTTATAAGTTTGATACAAACCTAAAAATACGTAAAATTTTATACCAAATAATTTTCTAAGTTTTTAGGATTTAATTTTAGGTACTTTTACATACTTTTTGGTTTTTCTTTACTTAAACAATTGTATAATAGAGTTGAAAAGTTTGATACCAACTAGTTTTTTAAAGTGTCAATATATTCACGAAACCTCAACTGCACAAAAATGCATTTTTAAGTTAGAATTTAAAATCATTTTATGAATTTTCGAGAGAATAGTTATGTAAGAAATTTAAAACAAACATTTTGTTAAATACAATGTTTCAAAATTTCTATAATTTTAGAGTAAATTAATGTTTTCATTAGAATCAATGTCAGTAAATTCTCGATTTTTTGATAAATAGAAGTTCTACTTTGACAGTCTTAGAACAGGTATAATGGTATGTGTATGAAGTATAACAGATATTGAACACGTAATTGTTGAAGATACAGACAAAATGTATATATGAATATTTATTTAGATGTAAACAGATGAAGTAATGATGAGGGTGTGAATTTGTGTAGAAGAATATTGGATTGGATTGAAAATAACTTATATATATGAATGGATTTAAGAAATTTGTGAAATTAATTGTATAGATATGAAGGAACAATGTGCATGCAAAATTATAGTTAACTTCTTAACATTTTGGTTTTAGACCTTGAATATGCCTTACAAATACATATTTTTAGGTATAGGTAAAACCTAAAAAATTTTGGTTCATTGGAGTTTTTAGGTTTTCATATACGCATTTTTACGTTTGTCATATACGTATTTTAACGGATATAAAATACGTATTTTTTACCAAGGATTGTTAAGATAATGCGTATGTCATATGTATGGAAAATACGTAATTTTACGTATTTCAAACCTAAAAATACGTATATATAGGAATGTCATACTTATTTATAGGTTTTCCGGTTAGTAGGGATGTACAAGAATCAAATGATGTTAAAGATTCAGCTGATTTTCATGAATCAGCTAATGTTCATGGATCAGCTGATGTTAATAAATCAGGTGATGTACAAGAATCAGCTGATCTGTATGAATAAACTGATATTTATGAATTGGCTGATGACCATGATACAGCTAATGATTATGATTCAGCTAATGTTCCAGTAGTAGCTGATTTGAATGAATCAGCTGATTTTCATGAATCAGCTGTATATTTAGGAATCAACTGATGTTCATGAATCAGCTGTTATTTAGGAATCAACTGATGTTCATAAATCAGTTATTATTCATGAATCAGCTGTTGTTCAGGAATCATGGAATCAGCGGAATTTTATGAATCTGCTGATTTTTAAAATCAGCTGATGTACATGAATCAGTTGATGTACAATAATCAGTTGATTTACAATTATCAGCTGATGTTCATGAATCAGCTGATATGTTGAGAACCGGTTTTCTGTATTTCTTGTAAGTCTGGGTGACTAAGCTCTAATCTACCCTTCCTCCGTGTTCTCCAGACCTGTAAGAAAACAGAAAAGTCAAAAAATAAAATTTGAACTTGTGAATTCTTTTTCATTGTTATCAAAAAAAGGATAAAATAGACCTGAAATTGCTCAACTATTGGATCATTATTTATAAAATCAGTAAGGACTAGTGATTCATCTTCTTCTTTGCCTTCAACTGCTTCTTCAAATTGTTTTTCATTTACTTCCGCTTCTTCTCCTACTTCCCCATCTCCTTCTCCTTCAACTTCCTCCAAGATATCTCTTTGCACCCAAGCAGATCCTTTTCTCTGCTCCTGTAAATCGGAAAAGTGTGTCAAGATTATTGTGGTGTAGAGGAGTAAAGAGACTGTACAAGTAATTTCAATTGAACCATCAAATCATATAGTAATATGTCCAATTCACATTTGTTTCACTTAAGCCTTTATCATAGACTGAGAAAGTCATGTTTTTCTGGCTAAAAATTAAGCGCCGCCGAACCATAGTGTACACATTACTGTGTTCAGTGTAATGAGGTCATGTGATGATGTGAATGCCGTTAGAAAGACTAGAATTCCAAATCATTCCTTGTCAAAGGATATTTTTTTTGATGTGAGACCAGTGTCAATTAACATTAAACATTGTAAATTTTTAAAAAGATAATTGCAGAATGCCCGTTATGTGTGTGAATGTAAATTGTACCTGTATCAAGGAACGTTTTCTTTCCTCTTGTAAGCTCTCTCGTCTAAACCAAGCTGCAGAATTCTTCCTACCATCCACCCGTCCCTCCTTAAAAACGGGGCTTAATGGTCTACAGACTCTTGTAATCGGGTTTTCAAGATTGAGACCATTTATAAAATCTGCGTACAATTTCCAATATAATGACCCCAATTTCAGGCTTGTAGATCTAAAAATGACCATTTAATAGGCTCCTAAATGTTCCAACTGGAGTGAATAAATTTGGAAAAAATAAAGTTAATCTCCGTTTGCACAATTTTGTAAAATATTATAAATATTTAATTCTTAACATTTGCTCTATTCTACAATGTCAAATTTCGACCCAGACAGAAGGTATACTAAAAAAAACGACTCAAAATATAAAGATATTGAAATTTTCTAAAAGAATGTCCTCAGTTTACCTGAACACTAAACCTTCTCCATGAACAGTCTTCATCTAGTTCAGCTGGTTCAAGCAAAAGGGCTAGAGTAGACCCATCATCAGGGTCAACTACCAAAATGATAATAATAATAATCATAAAATCAAAAAATGATAAAAATAATAATTGATATTAATAGTAATATTATTACCAAGATCTGCTGCCGTTTCCCCTTCATCTGTCAGTAAAAGTCTGTTTATCAATTAGTTTTATCTTTTTTTATTACAAAACATATAATTTACATCTTAACTTAAGAAAACTTTATTGCAATACATAAATTTGTGAAAAAAACGAACACTTAGTTTTAGTTTTTGTTTTGATTCTTGTTTATCCTATTATTAAATATTCTTAGCTAATCTATCCTATTCTTAAAGGTTCTTGGTTTATCTATCCTATTCTTGAAGGTTCTTTGTTTATCTATCCTAGTTTTAAAGGTTTTTTGATTTATTTATCCGATTATTGAAGATTCTTGGTCAATCTATCATATTATTCAGGATCCTTGGTTTATCTATCTTATTATTGGAGGTTCTTAATAAATCTATCCTATTACTGAAGACTCTTGATAAATCTATCCTAATATTTGAGATTATTCGTTTATCTATCCTATTATTGAAAGTTCTTGGTTTATCAATCCTACTGTCGAAGATTTTTGTTCAATCTATTCTATTGTTTTAAAACGCTTGCTTAATCTATCCTATTTTTAAAGATTCTTGTTTCGGTTCCTTGATTGATATAAAAGATCAAGGAATGAATATTTACCTAAGTACAGAGTACTCAGTTTCATAGATAATTGTTTTAATAAAGTGAATCCAAACAACGTCATTTTAACTAGTGTAAAATCAAAACAGAGATACCGGGTGACCCACTAAAATCTAAAAAATATCATTACCTAAAATGTTTGGCACTTAAAAAGTAATAATTAAAAAATCAGAAATTTGAAATTATTTTTAAGATTAAAATAACTGTCCCTGTCTGCCCCTTGTGATAGAAGATATCTGAAAGAAGAAAATATATATAAAACAAAATAGTTTTTTAACATTTAAATTGTCTTGAAGATCTATAAAAATTCTGTCAGCCATTGTATTTTCAAGCGATTCTCCACTTAAAAGGTTGTCGTGCTTGATCACACAACAATATCCTCCAAACCTTCGTATTAGTTTCCAATGTATGTTAAAAGAGCGACTTTTTGAAGTATATAGATCACAAAGAAAATAACTTTCTGAATTTAATACTTCTCAGGAAAAGCAATGATATCTTCATCACTATATATTGGCACATCAAAAGGTTTAAACGGTACATTGTTGTGAATTGGGCGCTACTCTTAAAAATTGTGGGGGGGGGGGTCATTAAATATTACGCCGACAGTCCCCTTGATCAGATGGGTTTGAAATTCTATCAATCATAATGTGGCAACGCCGGTGTCATGCATGGAGCGGACTCTTGCATGGGCGGACTCCCTCTGAAGTTCTAACCATTTCAACACAATGTAAGACATAAAAAGCAATTTTTGACATTTCCCGATATTTATTAATGTATTCAGATTTGAAAAACACATCAAAAATTATCTATGTCTTGAGAAAATATTAATTGATTGCTGATTTGAAAGGAAGACGACATCTAAGAGGATATAACCGTTTTTTGCTTCACCCCTATATTTAAATTGCATTTAAGAACTAAATGTGTATTTAAATATATGTTACCTAATAATTTCTATGTTTTAACATTGCTTTTTATGTCTAACATTGTGATAAAATGGTTAAAACTTTAGGGGTCGAGTCCACGTCATGTAAGAGCCCTATCCATGAAGGACACCGGTTCATGTACTTAATTTTATCTGGAAATTAAATATATTTAAACAAGGAAAATATTGAATTCAAGAATCAAACAGATTTTGCAGTATTGATCATTTGGAGACTTAATAGCACTTGAATATATATGAGAATGTGGAATTAAAATCACCCCATGAAAAAAAAATCTTATGTACTGTGAAGTGGAAATACTTTCTTAACTATACTAGAATGACCCAACCAAAGAAACAGCTAATGCACTGTGACTGCTTACTCTACTATATTAGAATGACCCAACTGAAGAAGCATCTCAGAAAGATATAATGCACTGTGACTACTAACTTAACTATAATATTAAGATGGCCCAACCAAAGAAAAATTTAATGCCCTGTGACTACTTACTTAACTATAATACTATAATGACCCAAACAAGAAACATTTAGTGCACTGTTACTACTTACCTAACTTTATTAGAAGGACCCAACCAAAGAAACATTTAATGTGCTGTAACAACATACTTAAATTTATTAGAATGACCCAACCAAAAAAACATTTAATGCACTGTGGCTTATACTTACTTTACTATATTAGAATGACCGTTAGCTGCTGCTGCATGAAGGGGGGTCCAGCTGTCTGCATCTCTCTACAACAATGGGTTTAATGAAACTTAAAGTATCTTTCACTCAATCTGATTTCTGACCCATATTATCTTATCAAATTTGTGCCGTAGTCAAGGGATGTTGTCCTTCTGTAAATGTAAGACCTCCCTTGACTATCCTAACCCCGACCTAACTTGGAGAAATATAATCTATTTTCAAAATAAAAGGAGGGTGGGGCGGGGGGTCATAAGAAGGGATTTAACTATTACGTTATAGCTTTATAGTATTCAATGACCAATTAACAAATAGTAATGGCAATGGTATACGGACCCTTTAAATAGTAATGGCAATGGTATACGGACCCTTTAAATAGTAATGGCAATGGTATACGGACCCTTTAAATATTTACATAACACTCTTCTTTTAGATTTCTCCATTGTTTCTGAAGAAAGACATAAATATCCACATTTTAACTTTTAAAAACTGATTGTTTTCACTTGTGTTTTTTTTTATACAAAAGTTACTTCATGGTATTTCTTGTTTCAGAAATAATGAAGAAATTGTCAGAATTAAAACTTTTCAAGGCAGAAAAACGACGTTATCTTCCACATTTAATCGGACAAGTGCTCTTTAAATAGTGGGTCACTTAGAATTACGACTTCAGTCTCTTTAAGATTTGATATTAAAATATTAATCTTTAATAAATGATTTAATCTTTATATTTACCTTGTTTACTTCGGCCCCATGGATTAGCAGTAACCTAACATATTTAATATTATTTATCATAATTATTTTAAATTTATTTATAGCATTATGTTCCCCAAAATTCTATAAAACTTCTTTAAAATTCACAGTTTCTTTAATTTAGGTTAGAATTAAGCAGTTAAATGTCTTAGCCTAAGCCCAATTTTAATAACAAAAATTCATTTGAAGAACTAAAACTAGAATGTAAAAATCTAAATTTCGTTTGAAAAAATTGTTTACTTGAGACAAATGAAATGCTAATAACACATTCGGTTCATTGTGAAAAAAGTTTTAAAAAATGTTTGCGTTAAGATTGTCTAAGATTGACTTTGGGCTCCGAATTCAATTTATTTTGGCGACCATGTTGTATAAACATGAATTAAGTAAAAATATCAATAATTCCCTGATGACAACAATATTCTCATCCAGGACTGCCTGAAAATAAAGGGATTGTTAACTAAATTAATACTGCAAACTAAACAGAAAAAAGTAAAATTTAGGCGACATTACTGGTTCCACTTTTTGACCTCGTAGCTCCTATAAATTTGATTTTACGCGTAAGTTTTGTTCTTCTCATTAGCTCATCAAAAAGAAAAGTTATGATTGAAAACATAATATTTTAATACCACTTGAAATTTACTTTAGTCTGACGTGACTTGCATATTCTGCATTACAAGTTAATCTGTAAAGAATGGTACATTTAATAAAACTCATGATATGGTTTTATTACCAAGTTTTGATTTGGAAATTTTAAAACTTTATTCCAGAAAGAATTTCATATTAGAATATTTAATTTCAGAAGTAAGCCTTTAACACAAATTCAGATTTTTGTCGTAGACCTCAGATATTTCAAATTATAAATTCTGTTAGATCAAACAATCAAAGTTTGAAATAACAAAGGTTTATCAAGTTGCTAAAATAATGTAATTAAAAATTTGATTTTTTTACTCTTTTTCCTGTAATTCAAAACATATTTTGCAATTCAAATTTATATATTTTTCCCACTGTACCCTTCTGTATACTACCGAAGTCTCTCGCTGTGAAGGAATTGAATAAATTTTATTTCTAAGAAAGCTCTCTTTAGTAAATTTGATTTCGAAGAAACAATTGATGATAAATTGCAATATAAACATCAAGCCAATAGGTTTCCAGTTTCAGCATAGATAGATAGATCGATAGATAGATAGAAAGATAGATATATAGATAGATAGATAGATATATATCTATAGATAGATAGATAGATAGATAGATAGATAGATAGATAGATAGATAGATAGATGTAAAGATAGATAGATAGATAGATAGATAGATAGATAGATATTGTGGGAAAACTGATCGAATTCACAAATTATCAGTAAATTATTAGATCGAAAGAAAGAAGTAAAAAACAATGTAAATCACTTCCCAGTCCCACCCTTCAACCCCCCTCCTCCCCCATCCCCCACCCTCTACGGCCGGTGTCAAACGTTACAAAAAACCTACCAAGTGTCCCAAAAAAACATAAGTTTCCATAAATTAACCAAAAACATTCACAAAGTCTTAAAAAATACAGAAGCCTCTGATATTTGTTTTAAATCTTTGAATTGATCTTGCGAATTTTTGTTTATTTGTTTTTGCGGATTTTTATAAGAATTTTGGAACAGGCGGTATTGCTCAAAAATTTCCGATCCCACCCCTCTGTGCCCGCATGCAATGTTGTTTCCTGTGCCATGTGTATTGTATCTATCTCTGCATTTTTAATTCTTTATTCAAAGTTCCTGTCTTCTTACTCCCACCTTTATACCCCCATTCTATACTCTTTACCTCTTCTTACTCCCACCTTTATACACCCATTCTATACTCTGTACCTCTTCTTACTCCCACCTTTATACCCCCATTCTATACTCTATACCTCTTCTTACTCCCACCTTTATACCCCCATTCTATACTCTATACCTCTTCTTACTCCCACCTTTATACCCCCATTCTATACCTCTTCTTACTCCCACCTTTATACCTCCATTCTATACTCTATACCTCTTCTTACTCCCACCTTTATACCCCCATTCTATACTCTATACCATTCCATACTCCCACCTTTATACCCCCATTCTATACTCTATACCATTCCATACTCCCACCTTTATACCCCCATTCTATACTCTATACCTCTTCTTACTCCCACCTTTATACCCCCATTCTATACTCTATACCATTCCATACTCCCACCTTTATACCTTTTAACCCCCATTCTATTCTACCCCTTCTTATTCCCACCTTTATACCTTTTACAACCCTTCTACTCTACTCATCATTATTCCCACCTTTATACCTTTTACACCCCTTCTACTCTACCCATCATTATTCCCACCTTTATACCTTTTACATCCCTTTTACTCTACCCCTTCTTATTCCCACCTTTATACCTTTTACACCCCTTCTACTCTACCCATCATTATTCCCACCTTTATACCTTTTACACCCCTTCTACTCTACCCTTCTTATTCCCACATTTATACCTTTTACACCCCTTCTACTCTACCCCTTCTTATTCCCACATTTATACCTTTTACATCCCTTCTACTCTACCCATCATTATTCCCACCTTTATACCTTTTACACCCCTTCTACTCTACCCCTCCTAATTCCCACCTTTATACCTTTTACACCCCTTCTACTCTACCCATCATAATTCCCACATTTATACCTTTTACACCCCTTCTACTCTACCCATCATTATTCCCACATTTATACCTTTTACACCCCTTCTACTCTACCCCTTCTTATTCCCACCTTTATACCTTTAACCCCCATTCTATACTCTACCCTTTCTTACTCCCACCTTTAGACCTTTTAAACCCCTTCTACTCTACCCCTTCTTATTCCCACCTTTATACCTTTTACACCCCTTCTACTCTACCCCTCCTAATTCCCACCTTTATACCTTTTACACCCCTTCTACTCTACCCCTTCTTATTCCCACCTTTATACCTTTTACACCCCTTCTACTCTACCCCTCCTTATTCCCACATTTATACCTTTAACCCCCATTCTACTCTACCCCTCCTTATTCCCACCTTTATACCTTTTACACCCCTTCTACTCTACCCATCATTATTCCCACCTTTATACCTTTTACACCCCTCCTACTCTACCCATCATTATTCCCACCTTTAGACCTTTTAAACCCCTTCTACTCTACCCCTTCTTATTCCCACCTTTAAACCTTTTACACCCCTTCTACTCTACCCCTTCTTATTCCCACCTTTATACCTTTAACCCACATTCTATACTCTACCTCTTCTTACTCTCATCTTTATACCCCCATTCTATACTCTATACCTCTTCTTACTCCCACCTTTATACCCCCATTCTATACTCTATACCTCTTCTTACTCCCACCTTTATACCTCCATTCTATACTCTATACCTCTTCTTACTCCCACCTTTATACCCCCATTCTATACTCTATACCATTCCATACTCCCACCTTTATACCTTTTAACCCCCATTCTACTCTACCCCTTCTTATTCCCACCTTTATACCTTTTACACCCCTTCTACTCTACCCATCATTATTCCCACCTTTATACCTTTTACATCCCTTCTACTCTACCCCTTCTTATTCCCACCTTTATACCTTTTACACCCCTTCTACTCTACCCTCCTTATTCCCATCTTTATACCCTTTACACCCCTTCTACTCTACCCATCTTATTCCCACCTTTATACCTTTTACACCCCTTCTACTCTACCCATCTTATTCCCACCTTTACACCTTTTACACCCCTTTTACTCTACCCCTTCTATTTCCCACCTTTATACCTTTTACACCCCTTCTACTCTACCCCTTCTATTTCCCACCTTTATACCTTTAACCCCAATTCTATACTCTACCCTTTCTTACTCCCACCTTTAGACCTTTTAAACACCTTCTACTCTACCCATCTTATTCCCACCTTTATACCTTTTAAACCCCTTCTACTCTACCCCTCTTAATCCCACCTTTATACCTTTTAAGCCCCATTCTATACTTTACCCATCTTATTCCCAGCTGTATACCTTTTAACCTCCATTCTATACTTTACCCCTTCTTAATCCCACCTGTATACCATTCACCCCCCCCCCCTTTCNTCAATCCCTTCTCATTTTTAAAGAAAAATCATACAGATTATTATCCGATAGGATCCTGGTGGGGTGGGGCAAGAAGGCACCCCCCCCCTCCTGAATAGGGTACTGTATAATATTATATATAATATAAATACCTGGTGCAAAGCTGTCATCCCCGCCATATTCAGTCTGTTAACATCAATATCTAGCATTATATATTATAATAAAAACCAAAGTAAAAGTCGTATAAAAAAAAAAATATGTAAAGAATTTAATTTTTGGGACAGGTACGCGCCAAAATAAAGCGCCACTGCCTAGAAGACGACCTCCAATAATTTTTTGTAAGAATTAGAATCAGAAAATGTAAGCTCTTCTTTTTACTGAAGAAATGTCTCTTTTAAGTAATATTAATTCATTTACAAATTAAAAATCTTCACTGTATCTAAAACGATTCAATAACAATGAAAAAAAATAAAATAGTTTCTTATAATTTTATGAGTACAAAATAAATAAATTAACAATTTTGCTAATTCATTTGACAAAGAAGTTAAGCCTTTGCCACAAACTCAAATTTTCTAATATCTACATCTTTGCAGCCTGATGGTGCTAAAACTTAATATTTCAAATTTTTATTATCAGATCTAACAGAAATCATAGTTTGAAATATCTAAGATCTTCAAAATTATGTTAGAAAGATATAGGGATTAGACAATCTGAGTTTATGGCGAAGAATTTTGAAATTGCGAGTAAAGCTCATTCATAATTTACTGAATACCCCCTTTAACTTTTTTTCGAGCACTTTCATTTTAACAATAAGGAAATTCAAAATTGCATTCATCAACTGACCTAAACTAACGCGACGAAGCATGGCTATAATCGCTTCTCCATCGCTCTCCTAGAATCATAAATTTGATTGACAAATAAAAATTTTATTTAGATAGTTATATATTTCGTTTCTGAGTAAAACAGTTCAATTATGGTGAAATATTTAGTTATTATTTTGTCAAAATATTTAATTGGAATGCAGTAAATAATTGTCAATATATCTAATTGGATTCAAATGTAAAAGGGATCCAATTTATGATAGAAATATTAATCTACTTTTAACATCGCGGAATAATGAACAAATTATAGAGATTTAAAAAAAAAACTTATTTTTGATTGTCTGACGTCTTAACCTGTTTTTCTTTTGTCGCTTTAATTGACAATCATTAAGTATTTGTTCGTTAAACATTGTTTTAAGAATCTTTATTTCAAGAAACTTAAAAAAAATAATATTAAAATTTGATTTTCCAACGAATTTGTTTAAAGTTAAATCCCATTTGCTGGACAGGACATTCTTTATATTTCATTTTAAATATATTTTATGAAAGTGTGTTAACCTACTACCAGGGAACTGAAAACTCAAGTTTTCAAATCCTAATTTTTGTAATTATTAACATTTTTTTTTCTTTTTTAATTTTAAATAAACCAAATTTCCTTTATGCTTTCTTCAAACACAACTTCATCAGGGAATCTGTTACAAATCAGCGTTGAAAAAAAATGTATAACTTTTTCTGAATAAAAAACTAAAATTTTTGTAAAAAATCTCAAACCAAAAAAGGTTTTGTCAATTAAATTTCATAGGTTTTGTAAGGAAGGAGAAGAGAATGTTTTGTTTTTGTAGAAGAGGGGGGGGGGGCGTGAATTGTTGTGAAGTTTGTCAATTTACTTTTTTTATAAGTTCTTTTCCCTTCTTTTATTATGATTTTATTAAGCATATTTAATTTATAATTTTAGTTTCTTTATCTTCGATGTTTGTGTGGATTAGAGTCTAAAGATACAACTAAACATTGGGGAGTTAAAGGGATTAACAATAAATACTGTTGGATATTGTATTCGAAATTTGTAAAAGAAATATAATTGTAAATTAAGCGTACAGGTAAAATTTAAAAAGAAATATTTATATTTAATTCAAATTGCAGATAAAAGAAATAGAAAAGATATTAAAATAAAAGTAAAATTTCTTTGCAATAATCTGCAAAAAACAGATTCAAAACTCAAAATGTTTAAAGTTTATTTGTATGGAATTCTGTAAAAAACTGAATAATATTTTGATATATGCAATAAATGTTTAGAAAAAGAATAAATATTATGAAATTTATGAAATGCAAACATGCATCAAAACGTAAACAAACCCTAAATCCACAAAATACTGTCAACTGTCAGAATAAAAAGATTTTCAGTTATTGTAAGATAACATTTAAAGGGACTGTTGTCAACATTATTTTGATTTTTTTAAATTTTCTTTTATTATTTAAATCAACTTTAACAAAATTTCGTCAAATATTCCTGAAATTGAAAGAAAAGTTTTCGCGCATGGAAACCCTTTTGTTCTCTCTAAAAAATGTCCCAAATTTTAATCCTTATATCCTTACTAAATTATGTTGGAAGCCTTTGATATATGGGCTAAAAAGTTATAGAGCTCAGAAAATTAAAATTGAAGCAAGTATTTCGATTTTCAATCTATATTTCCTTCACAGCTCCACTTCCTGATGCAATGCAACATGATTTTTTTGATTGACTAATAATTTTTCATTGTCTTTTTATTGGCTTGTAACAAAAAATAACATCTCCATTTGCAATAATGACAATGAATCAGATTGGGATTTAGAATAGAAAATTATTTGAAAACATTTTTTCAACTTCAATCAAATCTCTACAATTAAATCAATCCTTATCGATGAATAGCAGATGAACTTTAAAATGTTTGAATATCCTTGAAATGAGTAATTCTAGTTGATTAAATTTTGTTAAGTGTGTCAGACCTAGATAACAAAGAGCATGCCATTTAAATTGATAAAAATTAAAACAATGAGAGATTAAAAGATTTTTCTTTTGTTAGAGTTACACAAATTTGTGAAATATCTTTAAAAGTATTTTAATGATTTGAAACAACAAATGTTGCTAATTTCAAATTCAAAAAAAGCATTTAAGGAAAAATATGAAATCATGAAACTTTCGAAAATATTTCAATATCAGCTTAAATTTAATTCTTTTAGATTTATGACACAAGAATTAGTTAGAGTTAAAATTCAAAATGGCGGGTAAGAAAAAAGGCGGATTTTGAACAGCTGATTTCCCTGACTCTTCTCCGACCAGGATGAAGTTTTGCAAAGAAGCTGGCACGCCGTGACATATTTACATTTTGCAATCTGAAAAAAGATTTTTATGATAGCAGTACAGATATCATTCCTAAATTCAAAATAAAATCACGTTTAAAAAATTCAAATTTAAAACGACTTGATAAGTTTTCCTAGGAAAGTGCCTTTGGAAAGTTTGATCTTGATATATTATGATATGTATTGTAATGTACATTGTACCATGGTTACCCAAAAAGTTTGAGACTTCAAGGAAAACATGAACAGTTTAAAATATTACCCTGTAGATTGAATTTGGCCTTGATAAAACCAAAGCTGTAAGAAAAAATAAAATAAATAAAATCGGTTTGCTGTCGTCTTCGATCGAAGTCTTATCCTTAGTAAATAACCCTTTTTATATTATAGTAAATTGTTTAGAAGGAAACATGAAATTTTAAAAAGAGGTTTTTGGAATATCACCCTCAAGTATTTATATATTTAATTCTTAAAATAAACATTTTGAATGTTTGCAAAGCTTGTTTTGATCCAGATTTTAAAGTGTTTAATAATCAAAGATGGCTAACAGTGTTTAGACACTTGTTTTATGATTTTATTTTTACCAAATTAATGGCGTTAAATTGATAAACATGTCCTCCATTAAAGACTGGCTGATGCATGAACTCATCTTTGAAGCAACCCTACATTTAGAGATTGCCATGCCTGATTCACAAAGGTACCCTTTAGATTTGTATCTGATAATTACTGTTGAAAAAAGCGTCGTATTTCTGTCTCGAAAATGTTAAATTCTCATAAATTCCTTCATTGTCTTTAAAGCAAAAATCTCCTGGCCGCTTTTCTAGGAAATAATCATTTTTAAATACAAAAGTAAGGATATACCATTTTTCATCAGATAAAGATGTAAAGGGTGCTGTTTTGAATCAGACTCGGATTCGGACATGCCACTCAATAAATGAAACTATCACTGAAAATACGTTTAGAGTTTCTTTACATAACGATTGTTCTTTTCGTTCTTCTGTCAGCTGTCAGCTGTCAGCTGTCAGAGTCGACGTTGTGCTAGATGTAACAAAAGAAAACTTGTAGAGAATGCAACTATTTTATATAACAGTGATAATCAGAAATTTGTAGAAAAGGAAGACGACATTAATACAATACTGAAGTGCAATTGATGTTGTTCAAAGCAAATAGTCTTACTTGTAAGTTAGTGAATCACTAATTAAGTGAAATTGGTCTCTTTAAACTGCACAATTGTTGTGCCATGGACTCTTTAAAGTCATATCTTTAGCCTGAAAGTCGGCTTCTATTCCATAGTTTTCTGGTTATCACTGTATTAAATAATTATACAATTAAAGACGTTGGAAATTATTATAGAGCCGATTTCTATTATTTTGCAATCAAGAAAAATAGTTAGTTGCAAAAAAACAATTACAGGATACCCATTGGCCAAAACTAACCAGGACTGGCGTATAGTTTGAATTTATGCATGTTTTTATTCTTGTTCCAGTTTTAAATCTGCCTTGTCACTTTTAACTTTAATTCAAGCTCAAGTAAATCAAGGAACCAATACTTAAAAAAGATTAACTGTAAATTATAAAAAATATAAAAAATAATTTATTAAAAGTGTATGGTCAACAAGACCGAAAAGGGAAATGTTTAGATTACTAATCAAAATACATTATGTTGAAAGAGTGCCAATAATGATTTACATCATTCTCATAAGTTTTGAATTACTTATACTTTTTTTTTGTGGGAGAGCATGAATACTTTGTAATTTAAACAAAAATTAACGCTTGGAATTTTATTTAATAAGCAATATCGTCTTTCTTGGCCTGAAATGAAACAAATTCTAGAAATATTCGAATCATTTTTGTAAAAAGTAGATAATCGTTTAAAGGGTAGGGTACTGATGAGTGCTGACAAAATTTCATAAAAGTTCAACCAAGATGTGTTCCATTGTAAATTTGCTTGAAATCTCAGTTATTTTCACTCATGGCTAATCTTTACACGAAGGAATCACTTGTTTGTTCATTTTTCCATAAATACATTCATTTGGGCATATCTCTATCTGATTTTGTAAATTTCTACCCTAAAATTTACGTTTCCCAATGCTGTATCCCTTATCCCTGTATCCCTGTATCCCGTATCTTTGTATCCCTGTATCCCTGTATCCCTGTATCCCTGTATCCCTGTATCCCTGTATCCCTGTATCCCTGTATCCCTGTATCCCTGTATCCCTGTATCCCTGTATCCCTGTATCCCTGTATCCCTGTATCCCTGTATCCCTGTATCCCTGTATCCCTGTAACACTGTATCCCTGTATCCCTGTATCCCTGTATCCATATAACATGTATCCCTGTATCCCTTTATCCCTGTATCCATGTAACGTGTATTCCTGTATCCCTATTTCCATGAATCCCTGTATCCCTATAACCCTGTATTCCTGTATCCCTAATATCCAGTGTGCTTGAAGTCCCGTGGTTTAAAACTAACTGAAGAGAAGCGTCAACTCCTCTCTGTGCTCTAAACTATACTCGGAGAAAAGAGAAGAGTCCCAACCCTGTGCTGTGCTTTATGTTGTATACGGAGAAAATAGACAGGGGAAAAAATACAGCCAAGTATGTTTATATGTATGGACTAGTTCTTTTAATAGATATATTAATAAATTTACAGATAGGTAAATAGATAAATAGATAGATAAAACGATAGATGTAAAGATTGATATAAAGATGAGTATTTATATGTTTATAGTTAGACTGATGTATAAAAATTCATATTTTAAAAAATCGAGAAACTTGTTTGTTTCCTCCTATCATAATCCTTCTATCCTTGTAACAAGTTTCCTTGTAATGTAAAAAATCCATGTTTTGAATTAGTTTCATGTTAACTATGAAAATATTGATATATGAAAATTGATAAATGATTAATTACTAGATATAAAGATAGACAGCTAGATAAATTGATAGACGGATAAATGTACAAAATCGTGATTAAGTCATCTGCCTTAATATTGGGTTTGCGCACACACTTTTTGAACTTTGATTAGCTTAATAACATATATATTAAATTATATTTGCCCCAACTGAATGGGGGGGGGGGGGGCTTTTTTTGGTTCATATTCATTCATTCATATATTAATTCAACTACAAAGCATGAGATATTACAAATAAGCAATCACAAATTACTATGCAGTTTGGACCCGCCTAACCAGGGTTGGTTGTTTTGAGTGGTTGGCCCGAAGTTAATTAACGATACTGAATATAATTGGTTACACAAATCAAGATATGTTTTTGGATAGGTAAGGAGTTGATTGGAAGGAAGGAGATTGTCAGGTGATCTGTGGCAGGGTGAGATCAGAGGGATTATTATGTAGAGATAAATTAAAATACAGGGTGTTAATGACGGTAGTTACAGAAACAGAAATAAGCTAATAAAGTTATTTTAGTTTTTTTTACCTTTTGTACCTTTTTTAAGTAATGTTAACAATAATGATATATTAATTTTTCAGATTTTCCTGTTTTCATTGTTTTCATTGTTTTCATTGTTTTCATTGGCGGATTTATATTTTTAATCGAAATTTTCAATTTTGACTGGCCATAGCCCATAACCCTTTATCCATGGGGTAATGCGATTTACTATTATTGGTTCAGCCGTTTAGACTTTTTAAGTTCTACCAAAAACATATCAAATGTTTTCTCATATCTGCTTCAATGCTGTGTGTGTGTGTAAACTGTAAACAAACCCATGATCAACACTGGTCACGTGATCAACACCGGTCACGAATACTTGATATAAAATCAAATTCACCTACTCATCATTATATTCTCTATTTGACTGGCTGGGGCGCAGGCTGGGTCAATCTCAATATCCACCATGCAAAACGAAATTTTATGTTTATTTATGAATGTCTGGGTCCCAATAAAAAGAAAACTGAGTTTAGATTAGAATCGTTTTCAACTTTAAAAAATAAATGAAAGGAAAATATGGTTGTACAACATCGGAGGTTTACAAAATGGGGTTTATATTATTGAAGAAGATTCAATATTAAATAATGTTGGGCATGATTCTTGATATCTCAATCAATTAGAAAGAAACAAAAAAGGCAGACCACTTTTTGGAAATTTGGAAATACCAGAAATAGGGTGAGGGGGTCTGGGGGGGGGTAGTATTTTAAAAAGGTGGAATGGAAATAAATTTTTTTTTCTCGAGTTTTTATAGACTCACACGTATAGGATATACGTATCTTTCTTTAATGTAGGGGGTGGAGGATATACATGTTTCAATGACAACTTTAAATTTTTTTATTGTAACTAAGTATTTAATTGCTGATAAATGTTTCCCTAGTGATATATTCTAGATGTTAAGCAATTAGTCTTCTGCTTGTAAAAAATACTAACAATATACATACAGGGTGAATCATTAAATAATCTACTTGTAAAAAATACTAAAAATATACAAACAGGGTGAAGCATTAAATAATCTACTTGTAAAAACCACTAAAAATGTACAGGCTGAAGCATTAAATAATCTACTTGTAAAAACTACTAAAAATGTACAGAGTAAATCAATAAATAATCTACTTGTAAAAACTACTAAAAAGGTACAGGTTGAATCATAAAATAATCTACTTGTAAAAACTACTAAAAATGTACAGGGTGAAGCATTCAATAATCTACTTGTGAAAACTACTAAAAATGTAAGGGTTGAATCATTAAATAGTCTACTTGTGAAAACTACTAAAAATGTAAAGGGTGAATCATTAAATAATCTACTTGTGAAAACTACTTAAAATGTGCAGAGTGAATCATTAAATAATCTACTTGTGAAAACTACTAAAAATGTACAGGGTGAATCATTAAATAATATTACAGGAAGTATATTTAAATAACGCCATAAACGGGTGTTTTATGTGACAATTCACATGACCCAAGGAAAGGTTTTTAAACGATCAAACTTGAAAAATTTGCCAAGGAAAAAAGGCGAATTTTTTTTTTCATGAAAATACGTTAATTTTAACAGAAAACTCTGCAAGGCAAAAATGTAGCTTGAAGAGCAACGGTTAACAGACTAACAGCTAAAACTGTTAATAGAAAAGGGACGCAAAGCGCCCTGGATGCATAGTTACTTTATAATCTTACAAAATACAGAACATGATTACAAATAAACTATCCTAATTTACAATTTCTTCACTAAAGCACATCGTATTGGAATACAGTCGATCCATCATTTGAATTTAAATAATCCCAAACCCCCAAAATGACCTTAATATTGCTAAAAATATCAATTTTTTGTATGCATGCTTCCATTTATAATAGGAATAGGATTTTTCATATAAATCTCTCATATAATATTAACTTGTTTTTAATGCGTAATAATCACATAATAAGGGCCCATACTTGGAAATCTACTACGCTAAATTCCTATTTATGCTATAAGTTCCTTTAAACAAAAGTTTAGTCAGATACATAGCACTTGTAGCGAAATCACCATGTTTAAATCTAGTATGATTAATACAACTGTTAGAATAGGAAAGTCAAGAGGGATTGGAAATATAGCAGAAAGCCCAATTAAACCTACAGATGACTATCCCAAAACTCACAAACATTTCGACAAAATGCTACGTGGCGTGATGCCGGCGACATTTGCCGAGTTTAAATCGTATTCGGACGATTTTAAAGGAAGCTTCAGCGGAGCACATCGACATTTAGATCATACACTATACAGCTCAATGCCAGCCAACTACTCCGAGTTTATGAGCTATCCTGCCGCCAGGGAGGGGGAGGAGAAGGAGGAAGAGAGGGGATTGGAGGGTAAAACTGAATCACTCTGGAGGAAACATTTCTCTCCATTTTTCTCCGAAAGTTTACTGCCGTTGAAGTCACTTGGTTTCAACGAGAATGGAGAGGCTATTACATATGAGGTTGATACCAGTCAATTTAAACCGAAGGACATTAAGATCAGACTAAACAATTGCGAGGTTAGAATAGAGGCCGTTAATGATATGTCTAAAGACAAAGATGGGATATCCAAGTCCTACAAAAAGATGATTGAATGTATCCTAGTTCCGAGGTGGACAAAATCAACAGATATTAGTGTTGTACTATCAGAAGATGGCAAGCTGGCCATTTCAATTAAGCGAGCGCTGCCAGTTCAAATTCCGATAAGAGGGGGAAATAATTTTTAACTAGTATTGCGCTTTTTTAAACAGGTTTTTAACACTCAAATTGTAATTCAAGCATAAATTTGAAGCATTTCTTAGATTTTTGTAAAGTTGTTTGAGGTTGAAAACCCTTTAATGGTTAAAACCATAGAAAAAAACGAATCGTAAAAAATGTTGTTAATAAAAATGTAAAAAAAATACAATAAATATTGAAACTGTTGCTTTATGATTAAGTTTTGCTTCACTGTAAATAAAACATTATAAAATTGGGACCTAAAAAATTTGAAATATAAAGACGACATTTTAACGATCTTAAATATCTTTAAAAGTATTTCAAAATTGTTTAGAAATAGTTGAATATCTAATAACTGTTTTCTGGTTCTCATTGTAGATTTTCACAAAAAATAGCGTTTTGTGTAAAAATATGCAAGATTATAATTGTAAATTAACTTTAAATTGATTGATTAATTATCGTTTATTTCTTTATGCCTTATTACTGCACCTCAAATCTTTAACTTTAAACTCACTCATTAGTTAAATAAAGAATTCAGAATAATGTTTGTAATGTAAACATAAACAAAATAATCTTTGCTTAAATAATTTCTGAATGAATTCATGATAATGTTTTGTATTTAAACAAAATCATCTTTGCTTAATGAATTCATGATAATGTTTTGTATTTAAACAAAATCATCTTTGCTTCAACATTTTCTGAATGAATTCATGATAATGTTTTGTATTTAAACAAAATCATCTTTGCTTAAACATTTTCTGAATGAATTCATGATAATGTTTTGTATTTAAACAAACTCATCTTTGCTTAAACAATTTCTGAATGAATTTTTGTTTGGGTGTTTTTGTATAATTCTTGTAAGCCAAATTTTATTAAGAAACTGTATTCAAGGTTAATGGGCATTGATATGGTAATAGAATTATTACAAAATAATTCTTTGTTATACATTTTACAATGCAAAAAATATGGTTATTTACGTCAAATGACAGCTTAGTGTTTCTTATTTGAATTCTCCGCCTTTAAAATACTATCTGAGAGAAGCAGTTTGGCCAAATTGAACGATATTTCGTATTTTACGAACGTTTGTTTCTTATGTTCATGTAACGATCTTGCCCGATAAACTTTATCCCTAATCTGCCTCAAACTCTAATTTCTCAGTCAACCTTGACTACTGTATCAGCTAAACAGCCAATAAATCTAACTATCAGCCTACCCAGGCTTTATCTATCCGAACGGAACAAAGGTTTGTATTCTACTAATTTATTTACAACAGGTTAATAAATGGACCGGTATGACCGGCCAGGTTACAAAACTAAAATCATAGATTACGATAGAGCAACAGAATACAGCTGCTTCCAGGTTTGTTACATACATTATCAGGTAGAAAAATAATTTGGTCGATATTGCTCGAACAATTACAACAATGCTAAGTGGGATTCAAAATGCAAAAAGCAGAATGAATATGAAATATGAATATAGTCAGAGAAAGGTGGGTATAGGAAATAACTGATCCACGCAAAGCGAGTAAAAGAGAAACTTTCATCAACTTATGTGTACTGCAGTTTCTGGGAGGAATGTAAACACAACTTAGCCCGGGCAGCACTGAGTTTCTGCAGTCATGCTCCTTGGATCCAAGGTTGTAATGCAAGGAAAGTTAATTGCAGTTACGTATACTCTGCGTACATATTGAAACCAGTTCTCTCTAGGCGGAATTTTGCAAACAAGAATAGATGCATCAGTGTTCGTTTAGTATCCGAGGAGGTTAAAAGCATTAAATTTTGATAATTTACATAATAGTTTCCTATGACTAGAATATTTCATTGATTTTTATGGGAAAGATCCCATGTCAGGCTTCGACATCCTTCTTGTGTTTACATTACCGCCCAGAGACAGTACACTGCAGTACAAAAGTTGCGTACACCTCTGAAATAACTTTCCATGAATTACAACCTTGCTTGGATCGAAAAAAACTCAATCAAAATATTATCTTTCGTCCAATTCCCATTTAAACTTAATAAAAACATATCATCTTTTAAAGTTAGTATTTAGAAAAAATAAAAGTGATTAAAGTTTTATATAAAAAAATATGTTTATGAGATTGAGCTTTGTTAAATGTTAAGTAGGGCGCGTTATCAAGTGTTTGTTTGTGCGTCAAATATGCGTTGAATATGCGTATCATCGGGGTGGATGTAGTTTAATATGCGTATGAATGTCATGGTTAATGTGTGATATCATTGTTCATACTCAACCCACAATTATAATAAAAGGATATGGGGAATATGGGCCTTGTAGTTTAACTATATTAAAGAAACAAACAACTAAATTTAAATAAATATTTATAAAGATAAATCAGCGAATCGCAATAATTCCTTTTTTACTTTATCTAAGTATGAATTCACTAAACAGGTTTTCTAATTTTACTTCTAAAAAGTTTCTTGTTTATTTATTGTTATCTAATGTTTTCGTAAAACGAACTTAAAGTCTATTCAGATATTTAAAAATAAATAATTCTTGTGCAATACTTTGAAGTTAATATAGGGAGAGGAGAGGGGGGAGTTATAGATCATTCTAATATTTATGCATGTATACATCTAAAAAATGTATATTATGCAAACGAAATTTTTTTTAAAATGTCAAATCAAAATTAATAAAAATTTAAAAAGTGGTCTTAACTGTCCAGTGTACATATTTGGGCCAGTTGACATAATGGTAATTGACAAAACTGATTCTTTGGTTATATGTAGGTTGGATGAGATATTAAAACATGTCTCATTAAACCTCTTATACACAGGTTGGATGAGATATCAAAACATGTCTCATTAAACCTCTTATATACAGGTTGGATGAGATATCAAAACATGTCTCATTAAACCTCTTATATTTATGTTTGGTGAAATATGAAAACATTTCTCATTAAACCTCTTATATTTATGTTTGGTGAAATATGAAAACATTTCTCATTAAACCTCTTATATTTATGTTTGGTGAAATATTAAAACATGTCTCATTAAACCTCTTATACACAGGTTGGATGAGATATTAAAACATGTCTCATTAAACCTCTTATATATACTTTGGATGATATTTCAAAACATGTCTCATTAAACCTCTTATATATACTTGGAAATCTACTACGCTAAATTCCTATTTATGCTATAAGTTCCTTTAAACAAAAGTTTAGTCAGATACATAGCACTTGTAGCGAAATCACCATGTTTAAATCTAGTATGATTAATACAACTGTTAGAATAGGAAAGTCAAGAGGGATNTCCAATTAATATGTATATATAAATATATGAGGATTAATGTACTGATGATTAATCCAATTAATATGTATATATAAATATATGAGGATTAATGTACTGATGATTAATCCAATTAATATGTATATATAAATATATGAGGATTAATGTACTGATGATTAATCCAATTAATATGTATATATAAATATATGAGGATTAATGTACTGATGATTAATCCAATTAATATGTATATATAAATATATGAGGATTAATGTACTGATGATTAATCCAATTAATATGTATATATAAATATATGAGGATTAATGTACTGATGATTAATCCAATTAATATGTATATATAAATATATGAGGATTAATGTACTGATGATTAATCCAATTAATATGTATATATAAATATATGAGGATTAATGTACTGATGATTAATCCAATTAATATGTATATATAAATATATGAGGATTAATGTACTGATGATTAATCCAATTAATATGTATATATAAATATATGAGGATTAATGTACTGATGATTAATCCAATTAATATGTATATATAAATATATGAGGATTAATGTACTGATGATTAATCCAATTAATATGTATATATAAATATATGAGGATTAATGTACTGATGATTAATCCAATTAATATGTATATATAAATATATGAGGATTAATGTACTGATGATTAATCCAATTAATATGTATATATAAATATATGAGGATTAATGTACTGATGATTAATCCAATTAATATGTATATATAAATATATGAGGATAAATGTACTGATGATTAATCCAATTAATATGTACATATAAATATATGAGGATTAATGTACTGATGATTAATCCAATTAATATGTACATATAAATATATGAGGATTATTGTACTGATGATTAATCCAATTAATATGTATATATATATATATATAAGGATTAATGTACTGATGATTAATCCAATTAATATGTATATATATATATATGAGGATAAATGTACTGATGATTAATCCAATTAATATGTATATATAAATATATGAGGATTATTGTACTGATGATTAATCCAATTAATATGTATATATATATATATATCAGGATTAATGTACTGATGATTGCCGCAAGTCATGAAACATGATGTATAGTAAAATCCTGAAATATTTTAAAATGTTTGAATTTGAAGCTGATTCTGATATATATATATACATACAGCCTTATATATAAATATATTTTATTGTCTGGCTTGGGTTTCTATTAAGGTTTGTTTGTATAAAAAAAACGCCAAAATGGCTAATCTGAAAATTATGCCTCAAAATAATTTTTATTCAATTTTTTTTTTTGATAAATCCGCCAATAAGAACAAAATATTTCCCCCTCTAAAAATAAGATGTTCACAAGGGGCAAAACAAATTTTCGCCAGAAATATTTTAAATGCATTTTTTGATTAACCTCTAAATAATATACTAAGAATTGTTCTATAGATACTTTACAGTTTACAACCACAATGACTGGAAGAATTGATTTTGATATCGAAAGATTGCAAATTACAATGAAAAATAGTTGGTTTATGGATAGTTGTTAAGCCATCAAGTTTACAAACTAAATAGTGAGCTTAAAGGGACTATAAGCGTAATTTCAAGTGATCCTCAAGATGGCAATGCCCGATTCACAACTACTACAACTAATACAGTAATAACCAGAAAACTCTGGATCGGAGAGACTTAAAACACAATTTATGACTTTAAACAACCCTATGAACATGAGG